GATAAATTTTCTCCCAATCTCGAGACCACATTCTTCTTCATGAAGTCCAGCTTCTTTTCATTTAGTCTGCATTTACTTTAGTGTAGGGACTCAATGACACATAACAACAACAAGAATTTGCTCCAAGTCAATATCTTGAGATATAGAACAGATGAAGCTAGTAGCACAAAAAGAAGAATTGGAGAAGATAGATGCCAAGCCACACGGCAATTACTGAAGAACAGAAGGAGACAACATGCATTGTGTAAGAAAATAAATTTCTGTTTGTTAAGCTCACCCCCTTGAATTTTTGTTAGAGCAGCACTCAGAGATAACTACAATTGAGAACAACTGAAGAGGATTATGGGCACTTGCAGAGGTTTCAGCAGCTACAGAGATGACTAGTTCCTCTGTTCTCATTCCTCTTCAGTGATATGATTCTAACCATAGCAGTGGCAGAAGCTTAGAAGCTCAGAATCGAGTGTGGGCTCATACACTCTCGTACTAAAAGAGTAAGGAGCTTCCAGATTAGTGGACAACAGTCTCATTCTTTTCTTCCTTATGCTTTTTTTTTTAAAACCTTAACAACACTATTATTAAAAGTCTCCTAGATTCAATATTTTTCTGGTTTACATATGTTGTTGCCCTGAATAGATCCTGACCAACAGAGACACTAACTTCATTCTTTTGTTCACTTAATATTCATTGCCTGTCTAACAATGTGATGGACACCAAGGAAACCATAAAAAAAGCAGACAAGCTCGCTGCCCTCATGAGACCTGTGCTAGTCAGATGACAGACAATAAGAAAATAAATATTTACACAAGTTGGTCTCATATTGTGATAAGTGCCACGAAACCCAGAATACTTTAAACAATCGATGTCACTCTCTTTTAAATGAAGTCAGAAAGGAAATTCAAGAATCTCAGGGCTTTTAATTCCTACTCTTACTAGGGAGCCCTGGTGGCTGGGTAGTAAGGAGCTACGCTGCCAACATAAAGGCACATGGTTCGAATCAATCAACTGCTCCATGGTAGAAAGATGTGCAATCTCCTCCCATGCTATTTACTGCCTTTGAAAATCTGCTGAAGGGTCAGCTATGGTTTGGTTCTGCCTTGATGGTACATAACAACAACAACCTAATAAACTTCGCTCATTCAAGCCTGATAGTTCATTTTTCCTACGATGTGAACCTGTGTCTTGTAGTCCAACATGGTGCCAGGGCTCTGGACAAGACATTTAAGTTCCAATACATTAAGTAGATGGTAAAAGGGGTTAAGAAAAGATAAACATGTTTGCTCTCTTTATGAGGACTTCTGAGAAGCTATCATATAACATTTTGATGTTTTATTGGCCTAAATCCAGTCACCTCCAATACCTAGCTTTAAAGTAGACTGGGAAATGCAGCCTTAATTGTAAGTAGTTATCTGTCCCATTAAGAAATAAGGGGATACTAGATATTGAAGAAGATAACTAACCGTTTTTATCATAGAGCTAAATAAGGTTATCTAATTTTGAGTAACCCAAGGTGTTTATGTGGACACTCATTTAGATGGATCTTTTATAATCTTTCAGCAATGCCAAATAGGTTTCCTCACAGCAAACACTTGACTTACTTTTCTCATCCAGTTTATCCTGAAGTACTTTGTGTATAATTAAAATTTTGGGGAAAAAAATATAATAACTTTAAAGTAATCCTAGGGAGCCCTGAAGGCCTAGTGGTAAAAGCTGCACTGCAATCCCGAAGGCATGCAATTCAAATCCACCAGCTGCTCCACAAGAGAAAGATGGGCAATCTCCGCCCATGTGATTTACTGCCTCTGAAAATCTGATGGAGCATCAGTTATGGGTCAGTTCTGACTAGACAGCACATCACAACACAACAAAGTCACTATGCAAACTAGTACTAGTAAATAATACAAAGCAGTATGATGTTGTTATGTGCCATCAAGTTGCCTGTGACCCAAAGTGACCCTATGTGCAGCAGCTCTGAAAGCTACCCTGTCCTGAGCCAGTCTCACTAATTCAGACACACCTATACCCATTGCCCCAGTTACTGTATCAAATCTCATCATCTTGGGTCTTTCTCTCCACCTTCTGAGCACAAAGTCCTTCTTGGATTAATTCCTCCTGACCACATGTCCAAAGTATGTGAAATGGAGATTCAAAATCCTAGCCTCCAAGGAGAAACTTGGTTTCACCCTCTCCAAGACAGCATTCTTTGTTTTCTTGGAGGTCCATAGTATGTTCAAGACTCTTCTCCAGGACCACAACTTGAAGGCATACATTCTTCTGTCAGCTCTCTGATATATGATCTCAAATGCTCTCACTCAACTGTGAGTTTCTCCAGAATCAAAGAATCATGAATCCTATCTTTGTCTCTCTAGGGTATTGAATGTTGACTGTGATATGTAATCGGTATCAATCTCACTGAGGTCTAATCAGAGGTGGCTTCATTAAATGGGACTTGATTAGTGAAAAGCTGACAGAAAGCCAATGATATTAATGGTTAGTGATATTAATATTATTGATATTAGTGATTAATGGTCATATAGGATTATATGTACATCTTTGCAACACCATCACCAAGATGTTATCTTTTATTAAACTTTCACATCACCATTATAATTTTAATTTTTTATTTTTATACTAGTTTATTTACAAAATTCAAATACGTTATTTTCCAGAATAGATTCTTCCAATTTCCCTCATCCCCCACCCATAAAATTGTACAACCCTATGATTAATCCTCCCTTCCCCCTGCACATCCCCATCCCTCTGCTTCCACCCTTTTCCCCTTGGATCTTCATACTCATTCTATAATAATGGTTTTATACAATATTTGTCATTGTAGGACTGAGTTAGTTCACTCAGCATAATGCTAAAAAAATCACTGGCAATAAGAGAGATGCAAATCAAAACCACAATGAGGTACCATCTCTCTCCGGTAACAGTGGCAAAGTTTAACAGGGTAGCAAGTAAATAAATGTTGGAGAAAATGTGGCAAGAAAGGAACTCTTATACATTGATGATGGGATTTTAAAATGGTACAACTATTCTGGAAGACAGTTGATGCTTCCTCAAAAAGCTGAACATAGAAATCTCATATGATCCAGCTATTCCACTACTTGAATACACTATGAAAAAATGAGAACTGAGACACAAATGGAGACTTGTACACCAATGTTCATAGCAGTGTTATTTACCATCGCAAGAACATGGAAACCATTATACTCTTGGTTTTCTTTTTTATTTTTTCAACTGAGATTTTAATGAAAGTTTATAGAGACTTTGAATCTCCTTGTTGCACATTTTCCTTCCTGCCCACCCCTCCCCCTGCTTTTACTCTTCTTTTAGCAATGAAGAAATGGAGGCTCAGAGAGATCAAGATATTATCCTTACCAAGTGGCAGAGCTGGAACCAGACACCACAACTTAAAATACCCAAATGTACCCCTAGGAAAGGAGATGCCCTTCCCCCTCATTTTAGTCAAATTAATGAGTACTCATTGCAGAGAAGGCTACAGTATTCTTTGATTTCCCTTTCAAGAGCTTCACAAAAATATAATCCTCATGACAGTTGAGTCGGCTCCAACTCTAGAGACCCTCCATTGAGTTTCTGAGGCTGTAAACAGGAGAAGACTGCCCGTGTTTGCTCCATGGATTCGAGTTTATGGGGTCTGGAGTCTGTGGGCTTCTTTTTTTCCCCTTTTCAGATTTATTTGAACTTTTTCTTTTTCCCCAGTAGAGCAGCTGGTGAATTTGTACTACTATCTTTTAGGCTGGAAATCCAACATGTAACACACTACACATCCAGACCTCTTTTCTGAAAGTTGTTAAGTAAAAGTCGGCAAATTATTTTGCCAAAAATGTTCTAAATGCAGGATTATGACCAAGCAGAAAGCCTATTGCTATCGAGTGGATTCCAATTTATAGTTCTATTCACAGAACAGAGTAGATTGCTCTATAGGGTTTCTGAGGCAGGCTGTAATTTTTATAGAAGCAAATAGGCTTTTTTTCCCTGCGGAGAAGCTCAACTCACTGGAACGGTCCCTCTTTCAGTTAGCAACTATTACTTAACCACTGCACCACCAGGGCTCCTTCTAGAAGAATGGTAACAGTAATAAAAACCACCCCGAAATTGCCGTAATCATGTCCGTTCCATATCATAGGGATCGTACAGGACAGAATAGAATGCCCAGGTGCTTTTCAAGGTCATAAATCTTTACTGCTGTACATTGCCACATTTTTGTCGAGCAGCTGATGGGTTCAAACTACCAGCCTTTCAGTTGGCAGACTGAATCACTGTTCCATGAAGATTCAATAAACAAAACCCCCCAAACTCAGGGCCAACAAGTCCATTCCCACTTAAAATGACTGGCGATCAAGTTTCCAAGTATGTAAATCTTTATGGTAGGAGCTGCTGCCTCAGACCGGCTCGTGGATTTGAATCACCAGCTTAAAGAGTAGAAGCCTGACTGACACCTTACACTCACAGCAATGGGAAAAAAAAAAAAAAGGGGGGGGGGAGGGAAGACCGAGTATCAGTTTTATAAAAAACTACAACTCCCAATATCCCACAAGACAATTTTTGAGGGCTTCGACTCCCAGCATGCTGTTCTTTGGAATTCCTTGAGAACTCCAAGTCCCAGAATGCAACGCTCCGTACGACAGGATTTGCTGCCAGAGGACCAACGAGACTACAATTCCCAGCATGCAGCAACACACACACAGTTTCTGGCGCCCCGCCGGTCCCTGCTTCGGAGGGACTTTTTAAAACCCACAGGGCGGATCACAGAGTCTCAGCTGCCTCTGGGGAGCGTTCCTGTAGGGCGGTTCTGGCCCGCTGAGCCCATCAAGACGAAGTTTTGGAGGGACAGATTGGGGCCTAGCATAGGCTTCGCTCAGGCAGTACCTGAAGCAGCCCCAACAGGTCCCGCCTGGGGCCTAGCGCCCTTTGAAAAGCGGTGGCGGGCGGGCGCAGTGTATTCTGCACTTCGCAGAGTAGGGGTCTCCATCTCCATGGCCACGCCTGGGAGCCGGCCTTTCCCTGGCGGGTCGCGGGACATCCTGTGGCGCGTGAGTGCAGCACCCTGTGTAGCACGTGCGTGGCTGCCGTTAGGGTCTGGCTGGACTGCCGGGCGCCGTCCGCGCCTGCGCGCTGGACGGGGGAGGGGCGGTCGTCGGGATGTCGCGTGGGGAGATTGGTACCCTTAGAAGCTGATTACAGAGTTATTTTCCTTGGTGTGGGAGAGAGCGCATCCTTAATGGAGGGTAGTTACAGGGCATGTGCGTGTGGGACGTCTGGAGTGGTAGCCAGTTACGGGTTGGGAGGGAATCCTGAAAGGAATTTGCCGAGGCAGTGTTAGTAAGAAGTTATTCATGGTTTTCTCTTCCTTGGGAACTCTGCCTTGGATGGAGCTGGTTAGATTAAGGTGGAAGACTTGAATGTAAATTGGGGCAGGAGTTCTATATAAAGGCAGTCTACTTGGGAGGGGCAAAGAAAGAACGTGCTGATAACTAGAAATAAAAAATGGGAAAAAAAGTTGAGAATTGGGGAGGGAGAATTGAGCAGAGACTAGGTTGGGGACTGATACCCAGGATAGGTGTACTTTGTAAGAAGTTAAGAGGGAGGTGTGCATCATGGAATCGATGTCCTTCAGGTTGTTGAATCTACAGCCCTGCATTTTGTGGAAGACAGGAGAAGACCCCTTTTTAAAATCGTGTTTCTGCCCTTGTAGCACTGTCATTACTCTGTAATCTAAGCCCCAAATTTCTGGGTTCTCAGTTCTTAGTCCTTCTTGCAGTCCGAAATTGACCAAACATGCAATCAAGATGTGTTAATGGTAACTGGTGACTGGAATGCAAAAGTTGGAAACAATGAAGAGTGAATAGTAGTTGGAAAGTATAGACTTATTGACAGGAATGAGGCTGGAAACAATGATTGCGTTTTTCATTTTGAGTAGTTTATGTATTGTATATAAATTTTAAAATAAACCACCACAAACTGTGACTTTACACCTGGATTTCACCTGATGGGCTATATAGGAATCAGATTGACTACATCTGTGGAAGGAATCGTTGGAGAAGCTCAATGTCAGCTGTCAAAACTAGGCCAGAGGCAGACTGTGTGTCAGACCATAAATACTCATGGGAAAGTTCAAATTCAGGCCAAAGAAAATTAAAACAAGACCATGAGACCCAAAAGATGATCTTAAATCTATTCCACCTGAATTTCAGAATCATTTTGAGAATAGGTTTGAAGCATTGAATGAACACCAGTGATCGAAGACCTGATGAGTGTCACATAACTTCAAGGATATCAGCCATGAAGAGACCATTTCAAAGACAGAGGAGAAAGAAAAAACCAAAAAAGGATGTCAGAAGACTCTGAACATTGCACTAGAGCGTTGAGAAGCCAAAACAAAGGGAAAACATGCTGAAAAAGCTGAATGAAAGATTTCAAAGGACAGCTCAAGAAGACAAAGAATGTGCAGAGAGCTGGAATTGAAGAATAAAAAGGGAAGAACTTACTCTGCAATTCTCAAGCTTAGGGTTCTGAAATATTTAAGCCTTGAGTCACAATATTGAAAGATGTTATGGGCAATTTATTGAATGACCGAGAAAGCACCAAAAGATGATATAGGGAATACACAGAATCACTGTAACAAAGAACACTGAAAAATTTCAGGAAGTACCATATGAGCTGGAGCCAATGATAATGAAGGGAGAAGTTGATGTTGCCCTGAAGTCACTGCCAATTAAGGCCCAGGAATGGATGGGATACCAGTTGATTTGTTTCAATTAACAGATGCAGCCCTGGATTCCCCCAGCAGTCTATGCTAGGAAATTTGGAGGACAGCCATCTGGCCAACAAATTGGAAGAGGTCCATATTCCTTTCCTCAAGAAAGGTGATCCAACAGAGTGTGGAAACTAACAATCTCATATCACATGCAAGCAAAAATGCAGCCGAAGGTTGTTAAAAAAATGGCTAGACTAGGACATAGACACAAAATTGCCAGAAGTTCAAGCAGGATTTAGAAGAGGCTGTGGGACCAGGGATATCATTGCTGATGTCAGATGGATCCTGACTGAAAGTAGAAAATACCAGAAGAATGCCTTTATTGACAGTGCAAAGGCATTTGACAGGGTAGATCATAACAGGTTATGGCTAATGCGGAGAAAAATGGGAATTCCAGAGCCTTTAATTGTGTCATGTGAAGCCTATATCTAGACCAAGAGACTGTTACGTGAACAGAGGAAGGGAATGCTACTCGTTTTAAAATTAAGAAGGGAGTGTCATTCTGTTTCCATACCTATTCAATCTTTATGCTGAGCAAATTATTTGAGAAGCTGGACTCTGTAAAGAAGAATGTGGCATCAAGTAAGGGGAGGATTCATCAGTAATCTGTTACACAGATGACACAACCTTGCTTGCTGAAAGTGCGGAGGACTTGTTTCAGAAGATCAAAGCATACAGCCTTCAATGTGAATTGCATCTCGACATCAAGAAAACAAAAATTTTTACCACTGATAGATGAAAAAAGATTGAAACAGCAATTTCATCTTACTTGGATCCATGGTCAACAACCTTGGTGCTAGCAGCCAGGAAATTAGGAGACACATTACACTCTGGAAGTCTGCAGGCAGACCTCTCCAAATTATTGCGGAGCATTGATGTCAGTTTGAGGGCTAAAATGTATCTGATTCAGGCAATGGTCTTTCCAGTCACTTGCTATGCATCAGAGAGCTGGACAGTAAATAAAGATGCCAGAAGAAGAAATGATTCCTTTGAGCTCTGGTGTTGGAGAAGAGCACTGAACAAACCATGGACTGCCAAAAGAACAAGCAAATATGTCTTGGAGAAAGGGCAGCCGGAGTGCTTCAGATGATAAAGCTTTGTCTCACATATTTTGGGTATATTGCTAGGAAATCTTGTTCCTTGGAGAGGGACATCATTGTTGGATAGGTAGAGAGTGAGTGAAGGACAGGAAGACCCGCAACCCGGTAGACTGACAAGTAACTGCTGCAGTGGGCTCACTTAGTGTGTCAGGAAGTGTGAGGATGGCACAGGCTAGATCAAGGTTCAGACCTGTTACAGAGTCACTATGGGTCATACTGGATGGCACGTAATAACACTAACATTCCTTGTTGCTGCTGTTTTGCACCGTCAAGATGAAACTGACCTGTAGCTGACCATCCAGTGGGTTTTTAGAGGGGATAAATCACGAGAGATTGCCAATCCTTCCCCAGCAGAGTAGCTGATGGGATTTGAACTATGTGCCTTCAGATTTGCAGCACAGCTGCTTACCACTAGGTTACCAGACCTGCTACTGCCTATATTATTCACAAACACCTATCACTTTTACCTCAGAAATGTGGCTGGAATTTTTTCTTTCTCATTTTACTGCTCTTGTTTTTATATCAACTCTATAATCTCTGTCTTGGCTTATTATAGTTGACTGCTTTCTAACTCCTTTATGTCTTAAATTTTTCCCTTTGATCCATAAACCCAAACACTTAACATGCTTTAAAGTTTTTTGTATTTCCTCCTGTGTTTATTCAACAGTAAATCTTGATACCGTGACTATCCAGTCAATAAAGAGCATGTCTATAATGATTGTAAACACATTGCAAAAAAGAAACATATATATATATGTTGTTAAGTGCCGTCGAGTTGTAGACAACTCATAGTGACCCTATGAATGAAAGAATTGAACTCGTGTGTGTGTGTGTGTGTGTGTATATATATATATATATATATATATATATATATATTTGGTTGCCTTTGAGTCAAGCAAGACTCCTATGAACGACCTATGAAAGGCCTGAAGCCTTTCTATAACTATCATCATTTCTCAAGGTTCATAGAGTTTCCTGAGGCACGTTGTTTAGAAAGTGGATGCCAACACAAACACACACACATACCCTCCCCGCCCCCCACCACCCAAAGCCAATTCTGATTCATGATGATCACATGTTTCAGAGAACTGTGATCCATAGTGTTTTTAGGGACTGACTTTTCAGAGGTAGATTGCCAGGCCTTTCTTCTGGGGTGCTTCTGGTTTAATGAAAACTGCCGAGCATTCACTTAACAGCTGAACACGTTAGCTGTTTGAATGACTCAGCTATTCTACAGTATACCAAAAACTCACAGCTGACCCTCCATTGAGTATCTTAGTCTGCAAATTGCACAGGAAGAGATTGCCTGTCTTTTGCCCTCTGAGCCACGAGTGGATTTGAACTGCCAGAGAAGCTTGGCCTTTGGGTTGCTAACAAAATTCACTATGGAATATGTCACCAGGGCTTCCCTTGACTCATTTCTACTTATGGCAACCCTCTCACATTTACAAGACTGTAAATCTTAATGGTATCAGGGCCTCATTTTTATTCCTTGGAATGGCTGGTGTATTCAATCTGCTGACTTTTTTTAGCAGCTCAACAAGAAACTCACAGGCTACCTGTACTTCTTAAAGTATGTAGAAGTTTCCTAGAAATGTGTTAGTTTTTTAGTATTACTGTAACTATGATCATCAAGGCTAAAGTGACAGTTGTAAGTGACTGTAAAATACAATTATAAAACTAAGAATCCTCTCATCAAAAAGTATTTTATTGATGTAGAACTTGATTCTGGATGAATGCACGTATCAGCTCACCAATAATTATAAGATCCCGTGATTTGTAATAGTGTTAATCGTACAGACCATTTGTGTTTATGTTTTATCGTGTGCTCTAGAATTTCAGTGTAACTGTTAATTCTTAACATTATAACATCTTATATGAAAGGGAGCTTTTGGTGGTTTAGTAGTAAGGAATTGCACTGCCAGTTCAAAGACACATGGTTCCAATCCATTATCTGCTCTGCTGGAAAAGGTGGGCAATTTCCTGTGTGATTTACTGCCTCTGAAAACCTACTGGAGGGTCAACTATGGGTTGCTTCTGACTCAACGATATTCAACAACAACATTTGAAATGTGCCCTCTCTGTGAAGAGTGAGGTTTCGCATAACTGAAATAATTTACTGAGTTTGTTATTAAGGACTTTTTATTTTTGTTTGTTTTATTATAGGTTTTGGGTTGGAGAATAGTTTCAAGTATTGTTTGGTCAGTGCTGCTTCTGCCCATCTGTACCACAGTGTTTATAATCTTTAGCAGCATTGATTTATTTCATCCCATACAGTGGCTGTCAGGTAAGTGGTACTCAGTTGAGGAAAATCATATAGGACATGCTTGTCAAGAGAAAACTTCAATTATGTTTCTAATAACTTATTTTAACTTATAATTAATATGCCAGAGCATTCAAATGTGATAATTTATTTTTTAAATATTGAAAATGTTTTAATTTTTTCCACTGTTGCACATGTCACATGTGATAATTTTAAGGCATCATCTTTCATAATATAAACCACCTTTTCATCATAATAAGAATATAAATCTGTTAAAGACCATGCATGATTACAGAAGCACAAAGATCATCAGGAAATCACATAAATGAAACTAGCTTAAATGTTCGCTTTTCATTTAATAGCTTTATTGACATTCTTTTTTTAAAGAAATAGCTATCCCATCTATTTAAAATTGTAGCTAGAAAAAATTATATATATTTTTAATAAATACATCTAAAATCAAGAACATGCCTACTTCTCACTCATGGGTTTTGTTAACTGACTTTCTGCATTTATGATAATAGTAAAACATCTGTTTTGCACGTTATCGATGTTTGTATGATAGTGTTGAATGCCAGTGTGCAAGTTGAGAGTAACACTGGCTAGGATGATTAAGGTTATGTGTCCACTTGACTGGGTGGCCATTCTTCTCAATGGGTTGGTAGTTATGTACTGATATAATTGGCAGTGATGTAGTTATCATTGATTCTCTCATAATGCTGATTTTCATATAATGGCATCATCTTTGGAGTCTAACCATGTATATAAGTGAGGGGTGTGTATATACTGTTTCTATATTGTGGCTTATTAGGGAAAAAAATGAAATAGGGAAAAGGAGGAAAGAGTTAAAGGAAAGATAGATGCTGTTAATACACTAATACTGTTGAAGGAAAAAATATTGAAGCAGACAAATTTGTTTCTTAAAATACTTAAATTCTTAAAATGCTTGGATCAAAAAATTATTAAATTCATGAAAATATAACTGTTGTTTCATAATGCTCGTACTAAGAATTGCTAATTATTGTCCATATCCTGTGTACCAGCCACCATGTAAGCACCATAAGGTGTCACTGGATAGGTTAGTGTTCAGACCTGTTGTTCACAGGGTCATTATGAGTTGTACTTGATGGCACCAAAGAACATCTGACAGTCTTGTAGATAAAGTCATAGCCTTATATTTTTAATGACGTTAGGTTACATAATCTGTAGATACAAAGTACCTGAAGTAGGATTTAAACACTGATCTTTCCCTTAAAATCCTATCCTTTTCAATTATGTCACACTCTAAACTTGAAAAAAAAAGTAAAAAGAGCTGAATGTGACCAGAATAGGTTTTCAAGTCTTTTATAAGAATCTTGCTAAAGGCTTAAGAAGCAGTAATACTCTTGAATTCCTTTTCTTCCCTCTCATCAATAACAGTAAAAAATTCACTTGTTTTGGAAAGCAGGAAGTATGCTTTAAATTTTTCATAAAAAAATTGATAAGTTTTAAGGAATAAAAGCTTTACTTTGTGACTTTAATTTTCAAGAATAAAACCTTTATTTTGTGACTTTTGGAGAGAATTACTGCTAAAGAGTGAATACATGTTCTTTTTCTTGCAGATATATAAAAATTACTTTATGGATGGTTCCCACAGGTTAGATGGGATTAACCCCTAAATCAGTGTAGGAAGCTCTCTGTTTCTGTAGCCACCTTATTTTTGTCTGTATCACTAACTGATTGTAGCTGTCTATCTACACAACTACAGGATACATAATTAATTGTGTTTAAAAATTGTTCAGAATTGACATTATGGATAGAAACTGTTTTGTTTTTTTTTTTGCTATGGGTTCTTTAATCCTGATAGCACAGTCTCTCCAGATTGGATTCATGCAGTTTCCCCCATTAAATGTTACTTACTCTCTTCAGCTTTTGCCTTACAAACCCTTTTCAGAGAAATTGTACTCTTTTCATTATTAATCCGGTCACATGAATCCTATCATTCTTTTGACTGTATAATTCTTGGATAGAGTAGTTTAATTATGGATGCTTAGAAAGTATACTTCATTAATTTTATTCAGTGCACTGTGTTTTAAAAATAATTAGTTTTATTGTTCCTTTTTGGTCTGTTCAGCAAACATATCCTCATTGTTTTTATTTTTTTTGGTTCAAATTTGTAGAATATGTTGTATGTGTGTATTTATCTCTAGATATTCATCTACATACGGATATATAACTACCTCCTTGTTTAGAATACATTGTGAAAATTGAAAAGGAATATTGATTGAAGCGCTCTACAGTGTTCATGTATATTTAACAGGGATGTCATGAGTATTTTAAAAAATTGCTCATGTGGATAATTTAAGCATGATGCTATTTCTAAAAGTATTCTTTGAACGTTAGCTAAAGGGGCAAAGTAGTAAGTACATTTTAAAAATAAATTTTCTTGTTTATTACTAAATATGTTGCTTTTGGTTTCATTTGATGAGATATATTTATATAGGGTAGTATTTTGTTTGAAGTTAACATCTGTGTCATCTAAAAGAGGTCCTGGTGTAATTTTAGAGTATCCAGAGCCAGGTCGAAATAACTCACACTGCAGGTCTTAAGATGTATCATCAATGTATGTGTAAATTCTTGAAGAAAAGATACTTCTTATAATTTAATTTCTAATTTAAACCTCTTTCCTGTTATATAGTGAATATGACTGCATACTGAATAAACTTTACTGATTTACCTCTCTTTGCATTTTAGATTGTTTCAATGACCTATATAGCTCCTATGTAATCTTTTACCTCCTGCTGCTTTCAGCTGTAATAGTGATAATAAATATTTTCAATGTAGAGTTTTATACAGGTGAGTACATTTGAGTGTGTTTTGCCAAGGATCTTTTGTAAGTGTGTATATTATAAAGGCTGTATTTTTTAACCAAATATATGTAAATATAAATATTATTTCAATGTCTGACCTTAAGAGTATATATAAGTGCTAGTAACTCTCTTTTTAAAAATATTTAGCCTTTTTAATAGTAGATGGTGTGTGTGAAAGATACCATTCAGCAGATGAAACTTTGTAGCTTTTTATTTCTCTCAATTTCTCTCCTTGGTATTCTTCTTTAGATTGCTTAAGTCTATCCTTGTTGTTGTTGTTGTTATGTGCCGTTGAGTCGCTTGCTGACTGTAGTCTGTCTTTATGGTACAATAAAAGCTTTTAACAAAACTTTTTTAATTTTAACACTATTCCTTCTCTGGACTCAGTAGTAGTTCCTTGCTAGACATAAAACTTCAAATCCAGATTCTAGATGTAGTGCTCCTTTCCTTTGATTAGTTCATCTTTTAACTACTGACTGGTGGTTTGCTTTTATTCCACCTGTGACCAGGGTGCTCCGTAGAGGGGAGGATGATGAAGTTTCATTTCACGTACTTTGGGCATGTTGATAGGAGGGGCCAGTCCTTGGAAAAGGACATGATGCTTGGAAAGGTGGATAATCATCAAAAAAAGAGGAAGACCCTCAACAAGATGGGTTGACAAAGTGACTGTAACAGTGGGCCCAAATATGTCAGAGATGATGAGGATGGCACAGCATAGGAAAGGGTTCAGATCTATTGTTCATAGGGTCGCTGTGAGTCGTATTCAGCTCGATGGCACCTAACAACAACTAGGAACTTAGAGAACTCCTTGGTGTGTAGCATGTATTCTTTCATACTGTTCTGTTTATCTGGGCCATCAATATAAAATATACCAGCCTGAGGCTCCCTGGTCTGAGTGATTCCTAAAGCCTGACTCGTTATTTGGCCCATTCCTTTATGCAGTATGTTTTACATATTTACTGTGCACCATGCATTGTATAAAGATTAGGGATAAATAATATGGTCTCAGGTCTCCTGAGAATCATGGTTATGAAGAGACAGAGTAAATAGTAAATGTACTCAGTTATACTATATTGGATCCTATGGGAATATATAGCAGCTGTACTTACACATCATAGAGAACTTCTTGTGGAAATAATGCTAAGTCAAGTCTTGAAGGATGAGTTGTATTAGGTAAAAAAGGAAAAGAATATTTTCAGGAGAAAGTATAGCATGGAAATAGGCTTAGTGACATGTGTGTGCTTGACGTAAACAGATATAATAAGTTAGCCTCTAGAGGTGGGGAAAATTTGTGATGGGCAGGGAACAGGGATGGCAGCCTCTTCCCCCATAAGTGTTCAGCACCTACGGTTGCTCACATTTTTGTCAATCTCTTACAGTCTCTTTATCTTGAGCGCTTTAAAGGAAGAATGTCTGAATGCTTAGGTCAGGGAGTATTGCCAAGTGTATTAAGTTGTTGATGTTCTACACATTCTTCATTAACCCAACTTACCCAGGATTGTCACTTCTAGAAAACTTTCGGATTATCAGGGAAATATTAAAAATTATCAGGCAACATTTTAAAATACAGTGTTGTCAGTAATTATACAGTTTGTGGTTTAATTTTTCATAGATAGTACATATTCACAATTTCAAGTCTTGTAGTGAAGATAACTTGCTATAGGGCAAGAACTTTATCTTATAGTTCTTCACACTTTTATGGCACTGAGGAGAGTCCCTGGATAGGTACTCTGAGCTTTCAGGATATTTTAATAAAAAATAAATGAAAATGTTAACTTGTTAACTGTGCTATCTTTAGTATTTCTTTCTGTACTCTAGATTCTTTGGTTTGGTTTTTGGTGGGTTTTTTTTGTGTGTGTGTGTGTGTGTTTGTCTCTCTCTCTTTGTGTATGATCTTTTCTCAAATTATTTTAACTCAGACTTTACTGTGTTTTACATTGACTTTCTTTCTAAATATTTGAAATGTTTATTCAGGGATGAGAAATAGTAGTTTATGTTCTCTAACTGAACATGCTGCATGTTATTTAAACCACACTGATTTGCTTTGTTTGCAGTTGTGCCTTGCATTTCCTGCTCCAGACTGGCACTGGTCGGAAAGATCTTTCATCCTCAGCAAGTTATGCATTCACTTGTTCATGCTTTTATGGGGATGGTGATGGCGTGGTGTGCTGCCGTGATAACCAAGGGCCGATACAGTTTTCTTGTTGTTCCCTGCACAGATTCTGAGAGGTAATAATAGAAATATTATTTTCCCCTGAGGAACTTTGTTTAGTAACTAAGCCAGAGGTGACCTATATAAGCTAATAGTTTATGAGCATTCTTTGCTTTCTGCATGTCTACAGAAGATACTGTTAAAAAATGTGAGGTTTTGGGGTTTGTTTTTTTTTTAAAGGCATTTATTATGTACAAGACACTGTGCTAAGTCCTGCTGGGTTTATGAGAGGACAATTAACTTAGAGGAGAAGCTCTTTGAAAATTGGATCCAGTTGGGAGATTAAGACATGGATATTACAGGAGGAAGGAAGTTTAAAGAATTTACAGTTGCCTTATTGGAGGAGGTGGCATTTAGTTTGAAGAACAAGTAGTATGTATGGCAAGAATAAAACAAAAAGCAATCCCATTACTGGGAATATACCCCAGAGAGACCATGTCTGCCATCCAAGCAGATATATGCACACCGATGTTTATTGCAGCTTTGTTTACAATAGCAAAGAGTTGGAAGTAGCCTAAGGGCCCATCAACAAATGAATGGATAGAGAAACTGTGATATATCCACACAATGGAATACTATGCAGCATTGAAAAACAAGGAACTCATGCAATATTATTCAAAGTGGGTGACCCTGGAGGACATTATGCTGAGTGAAATATCTCAGTCACAAAGGGACAAATACTGCATGGTGCCACTGTTGTAGAATGGGTCTGTCATCAGGGTGGGGGTATGACAGAAAAAACTGGATAAATTATGTATATTGTATTGAAATAGATGAGGGAAAGAACAGATTAGAAGTGATATATGATTGAGTATTATGGTTAGCACAGGAATCCAGAATTAAGGTTGCATAGAGAACTGTACTCGGGGTAGGGGGTGGGGGGAAGGGACGTGGGAATCGTATACTAATGAAGGAATTTTTTTTTTCTCTTCGGAGGGGGAAGCGAGCTGGTGGGGAGGGGTGGGCAGGGAGAAAATTGCGGCAATGAATGAATGGAAATCCAAAACCTCTGTGAAAAAAACAAACAAAAACTGCCCACCACAACAAGATAAAGGTAAATAATCCAGTAGAAAAATGGGCACAGGATATGAACAGAAGCATTCAGATGGCTAACAAGCACATGAAATGTTCAAAATCCTTAGCTCTAAGAGAGATGCAAATGAAAACAACTATGAGATATCTCACCCCAGTAAGACTAGCAAAATTTAACAGAACAGCAAGCAACAAATGCTGGCGAAGTTGTGGAGAAACTGGAACCCTTATTCACTGTCGGTGGGAGTGTAAAATGGTGCAACCACTGTGGAAGGTGGAATGGCACTTTCTGAAAAAGTTACAAGTAGAGATACCATTTAACCCAGCAGTTCCAGTGCTGGGAATACTCCCCAAAGAGACCATAATTGACATCCAAGTAGATATATGCACACCCATGTTTATCGCGCCTTTGTTCACAATGGCAAGGAACTGGAAACAACCTAAGTGCCCATCAACAAACGAATGGATAGAGAAGCTATGGTATATTCACACAATGGCATACTATGCTGCATTGAAAAACAAGAAACTCATGCAATGTTATTCAAAATGGGTGACTCTGGAGGACATTAGGCTGAGTGAAGTATCTCAGTCACAAAAGGACAAATACTGCATGATGCCACCGTTGTAAAACAGGACTGACCTCGGGGTTGTGGGGAGGAAACAGATGGGTTCAATAATGTGTACTGTATTGAAACAGATGAGTGAGAAAACTGTTTAAAAGGGATCTGTTATTAGGTATTTTTGTCATGACAGGAGTCTAGAGCGAAGGCTACATGGTGGAGTGGACCTGGGGGAGGGTTTGTAAAACAATAAAAGAAATTTTCTTTTACTTTTCCAAGAGGGGAGTGTACTACGGGGGAGGATTGGGAGTGGAGAAAAGTACAGCAGTGAATGAATAGAAATCCAAAATCTCTGTAAATTCTTACTGAAATTAATAATAAATTTAAATAAAACAAAATTTATATACATAAAAAAAATGAGCTGGTCATTAAAAAAAAAGTAACTGCCTTCAATGGGATACTTTTCATCATTTTGAACCTTACACAGTTCTTGAATCATGGCTTTGAAAGGCTCGTATTTTATCCTCAGAAAAATTAGTGGAGTTAAATAGGGTTTCTGTATTCCACTGTCTTCTAGAATAATACTACATGAATAAAACTAATGATGTGATTTCCTTTTAACCTCCAGCTATTAACTGTATGAGGGAGTTTTCCCCCCCCAAATTTGGTAAATTCAGTGAAAGAACACTGCTTGTTAAACAATAATAAAAGTCTTAGGTGGGTAAGGATTACTGTGAATGAGGAACTCCCAACTGCTCTTGTGGTGAATCATGAATTCTCTTCACATCTCTGTCTTAGCACAAGTGGAAGTGAAAGTAAAAGTTTAATGAGCAGGAGGTAGCAGTAAATTAATGATATAAAAAGATTTGTGCCTGTAATTAATCCATTTACTAATATTTTAGTTAAGAGTATCTAGTAAAATTGTCATCTTTTTATCATTGTTCAAGGTCAGTATACAGTCAGTCGTAAGTCTCACCTGTCATGGAGATCAATGGCATGGCAGGTCTATAATTTTTCCTCATGCATGAAAAATTGACTTAATTATGATAACGGCTTTATGCACCACAGATAATAGATGTTAGAGATTCTCAGTAAAATTGCAAAGGAATTTGATCTTGGGTTCACCACATAGTTAAGAAGGAAGCAAGACATAAGATGATAGACAGCAGTGCCCACCGGGCACTTCTTAGGTTTAACTAAATATTGAAAATTTATAGTCCTTTTAGAAGTTTATAGGTTCCACACTATCTGGAAACTATTGTCTTGCCCTCACCTTTATATCTCAGTTCAGGTACAAGAAAAGATCAGTATCTGATTCTTGTGAGACCCACTTAGTTTAAAAGCCTCATATTATACAAGATCCATTGTCTTTCAGCAGCTTCATAGGTATAGGTGGAATTGAGAGTCCCAACCAAGGAGTTGGGGATACCCAGTAATGAGAGGACACAGAGGAAAGCCCAGTCATAGAACTTTACCAAAACAGTGGCCATCAATCACCCATGTGTCAGAGTACTGCTGTGCTGTAGGATTTTTTTTTTTTAAATGGCTGTGATCTTTTAGAAGTAGATTTCCATGCCAGTCTTTTCAACCCTAATCTTTCAGTTGGTAGAGTTTTTTCAGGTGTTTTGGTTTCTCATTCTTCCTAGTTCAGATAGAAGTGATGATAGCTCTGGTGCCCTAGTGGCAAGACGCTGCACTGCAATCCCAGAGGTACGCAGTTCAAATCCACCAGATGCTCTGCTGGAGAAGGAGGGGGCAATCTCCTCCTGTACCAGTCAGATCTGATTTGATGGTACACGTAAAAAATAATACAATAAAAAAAAAATGATAGCTTGGTGTACTACAGTGATAACCTTAGAGCCAGTATACTTTTCCAGATGGAGTTTACCAACCAGGATTTTGCCCTTTTTTTTTTTTGGTAAACCAGAAGCAGTGCTATTTAATCTAATTCTTGAATTTTTACCCTTACCAGATTTCTAGGAGAACAGAGGTGGAGGGTTAACACAAAAGTCAGTTCTCATGCTCCAGGGAAAAGATTTTGTGAATCATTTGACCCCGCTTTCCTAAGACAAACCATTCTGTTATAATTTGGAGCATTTTTTTTTTTAAAGTCAAAGCTTTGCCTTCAGAAATTTTGAACCATTGATTGTCATGATTTCCGATACTGTTGAATTAAAATAACTTTTTTTTCCTTAGCTTAGATAGTCCTGCTGCACAGTCTTGTTTAAATGAACATCACCTTTTTTCCCTTCTGGCTGGAGCATTCATGGGATATAGCTATAGCCTTCAGTATTTTATCAACAACATGAATTACCTTCCCTTTCCCATCATACAGGTAAGTTAACCAATGAGCATTATCTTATGTTTAGAGTGTGACAGTTAAAATTGCCTCGTTTGTATGCATGTATAACTGACCACATCTGATTCATTCAAGATCTGATCATCAAAAATCAGATGTGAGGTCCTCAAATACCACCTAGAGAAGAGAGAATTGCATAGGTCTGTAGTGTATGAAAATTGAAGCTGCTGTTACCACTGCCATGCTTGGAATACCACTTTGTTCTCTTGTTTTCCTCCTTGTTTCAGTAGTGTCAAGTACTGTGACCAGGAGGACCAGGGAGATGATAACATTGACTTAGAGTACTTCTATGTAGCTGTGAGGCTGCTAGCTTAGTTTTGAACTTGAGAGTTTTTAAGTATGAACTTGTCAGTACGTTCCCAAATTCTTTTCAGAATAAGGCAAGACTTAGAGAAATGGAAATTTGTAGTTTCAAAGAGTTTTGGTTGCTTAGTGATAAGGAGTTGCACTGCCAACACAAAAGCATGTGGTTTGAATCTACCAGCTGCTCTGGAGGAGAAAGATGGGTAATGTCTTGCCATGTGATTTATTGCCTCTGAAAACCTACTGAAGGGTCAGCTATGAATTGGCTCTGACTCTATGGTATGTAACAACAGTTTTAAAATAAAATTATTTAGAAATTAGACATTTTAAATAAAACTATCTTGTGTAGGACAGTTTAAACTATCTTTAAGTTAGGTTTTTAAAATCACATCTGGTGGTGCATTTTTGGAACTTAGGGCCATCTGTTTAATATCACAGATGTACAGAAGAGTGAACAGAGAAGCAGACTAGTAGTTGACTATCATGTAATGTCAGATTTGTAAAATTTTAATACCATTTTTCTTAACTTGTATAAGATTTTAGTTTTATTTTTAAATATCAGAGTTTGTTCTGTGATGGTGATATTTAGTCTTGGCTTTAACTGCAGCTGTTGGTCTTTGTTGTTGTTGTTGTTATGTGCCATCGAGTCTTTTGTGACTTATAGCGACCCTATGTATTTGAGGCATTTTTCTGAGTTATTCATTCTGCCCGATTGGGTGCTATTCTGTATCCTGGGAAGCGTTGGAACAGAGGGATGTTTGGGTGAATGTATTGGAAGTAATAGAGGTGAGGATTTTGGCAAGAGCAGTTGAAGTGTTGGATCTTTCCCCTCCATCAAGTCTATAACTGTCTTTGTTTGCAGCCTGGGTAGGTTTGCATCCCCAGAACACTGAGCATAGTTTCTGTCATTAGCTTTAGGCACATGCATGGTTTACAGTAAATAGTCTTCCTTTGTGAGTTATGTGTTGCTAAGGGAAATAGAGCAGATTGTCAGGAAATTGCAAACTTGCTGCAAGATCTTGGACCTATTCCTTCTTTCTCTGACTTCCATAAAGTGATGTGATGGTGATTGCTACTTATTTTCTTTATTAAACAGCCAAGCTAATCAGGAAATTTTCTTCCTTTTTTAACAAGCAGTAACAACTGTTAAATCTTTATTAATTTTGGTGTCATGTATCATACAGTTTTTGAGGGGTATGTTGTTCTTATGTGCCATCGACCACAACCCATAGCGATCCTATGACCAGTGGCTCTGAACCTTGCCATGTTGAGCCAACCTCATCATCTCTGACCCACCTGACCCAATTCCCAAGAGATAATCTTTTTATAAAATACTCAAAGAATGTAGTGGGAAATGTGCCAGTGTGATGTTGCTTATTGGCCCATTCGTGAGGCTGCTTGTTTTCTTGATGTTGAGATATAATCCATATTGAAGATGGGTAGTCGTTAATTTTCTGTATTAAGTGATTCAAGTCTTCACTTTCTGCAAGCAATGTTGTGTCTTCTGCATAATGCAGATTGTTAATTTGTCTTCCTTGAATCTTGATGCCATATTCATCTTCTTCTAGTCCAGTTTCTTCAGTTATTTGCTTAGTATACAGATTGAATATGTATGGAGAAAGGATACAGCCTAGACATTCTATGTAGCTACTGAAATGCCCCCTGATTTTTTAGTCTTCTTTCTCTAACCTTTCTGTGAGGGATGTTTGAGGTGCGAGCTGTAGTAGAAATAATACAGGTCAGAGACCAAGTTGGCACAGGATAGAGCAGGGTTTAGGGCTCTTGTACATAGGATCACTATGAGTCGCAAACAACTTGACGGCACATAACAACAACAGTGTTCTTTTTGAAGTTAGTATAGAGTGGTGTATCCAGTATGGGATAGTACATTTCCACTTTGAAAATAATTGAATAAATAAATAAAATTAAAGGTATGTAGTAAATTTTCAAGTGTTCGTATATAGGTAGCACTTTATAAGATACTGTAGATGCTTGCCCAATCTTTGATTGGTGCAAATCATTAAGTGTTGTGCTCCTAACCAAATGATTGTTAGTTCTCAACCACCCAAAAGTACCTTAGAAAAAGGTCTGCTGATTTGTATCTGAATGGTCACGGTTAGGAAAAGCCTGTGTAATATAGTTCCACTTTGACACACATGGAGTTACTGTGACTTGGAATTAGCAGCAACTGGGATGGTATTTATAAGCATCTGCAGACATAGTAAGAAAAAATTTTATGTGTAAATACTTTAATTCTTTACCGTTCTTTAGTTTCTAAAATCTCTAGTGTAAATATAAAAGAAGGCCCTAATTTGAGATATTCATCTTTTATTTATTAGACTTCCTTAAATTCTTTCCAGTAACGTTTCATGTTTTTTTCCATTGGAATTTTTTGAGCATTGGGAAGAGAGTAGGGTAAGAACAAAACGTAATTTCTTCAGGAAGAACAGTTTTTATCTTTTTTGATTCTTTTAGATTATTCATGTTGGGAGGTAACCACTGTGGAACTTTTTACCTGGTTTAATCTTATTTTATAGATAAAATAGAGAGGAGATGTGTATTGTTCAGGATTGCACAGAAAGTAGGAACAATAGAACTTTTCTGAGGAGAATGTCTTATTCACTGTTTCATTTTAAAATGTAGCTTAGTTTAGAAGCAGCATGTATTATCTTTTAAGATTGTAGGTTTGGAAGCCAGCCTGCTGGGATTAATTTCTCAGATTTTTCCTTCTGCTAGATGATAATATTGATTAAGTTGCTGAACCTCTCTGAGTTTCAGTTTTTTCATCTGTAGTACAGAAAGAATAATCGAATCTCGTTTGTAGGGCTCTTGTGTGTAAATGGATAAATGTAAATAAACTGCTTAGAACAGTGTGTGATATATGGGTAAGCACCCAGTGGATGTTAGCAACTTTTGCTATTAATACCATTCTTTTGTACTTTCTTCAGTCTTGAATAATTATGGATTGATGATAATTTTCACATTAAATCTTGAATCAGTGAGATATGTAATTTAAATGTCTGTATACCAAAATTATTTTGACTCTATAATAAATTCTTGGAAGCAGAAGTGGCATCCACTTCCTAAACAACATGCCTCCAGAAACGCTGAACTTGGATGAATGTCTATAGTTGTAGAGGGGCTTCAGGCCTTTTTTTGTTCATAGTGTCCCTATGAGTCATGCTCAACTTTAAGGCAATCATTAACAACTTAACAAATTCAGTATTTAATAAGTAGACTGATAAACACTTGCTTTAGAATGAAGAAGAAAGACTGAGTGTATCATTTGATTGTTTCTCTTTTTGTTTCTACAGCAATACAAATTCTTGCGCTTTAGGAGGTCTCTGCTCTTGCTTGTTAAACATAGTTGTGTAGAATCACTGTTCCTGGTTAGAAATTTCTGCATCTTGTATTATTTTCTGGGTAAGAATTTCTACTTTTTGATATAGTATTTGCATTAATTCATATTAAAAAATAACAGCTATAAGAAAATCATTCTTGGTTCCCTATAGTTGTAGTTAGGTGATTTACTCAGTATTTGTTGATTATATTGTTCAAATTGGACTTGCTTAAGGGAAGATAACATGGTTCATTTTTTCATTATTCTGTTTAGAAAGAACATGCTCTTCTTTCATAAGTTTATGATTTGATACTTATACAGTAGGAACATCCTGTTGCTAAGGGAATCATAATGATTTTCAGGCACAAGAATATAATTTATTATTAACAGTTGAGTAGGAAATGTAGTCTTAGTCGCAGCACATAATAAATAAACAAAATCTTAACATTCTAAAATAGTGTGTCACACTGTCAATATTTATAACATTTACTTTCTTCTATGGTTATAACAACAAAATTGTTTTCAATTGTGTATAGTCGTCTACTTTTTTTTTACTCAATTTATGTAATCTGTTTTTTCCCCTCATTTTTTTTATAATTGTCATTTTAGTGGTAAGACTTCATTGTATCGTGATCAACTTCACTCAGCCTGATAGTCCTCTTAGTTGTATATGTGAGTTGACACAATGTCAATGTCAACATTGCCATGGTCAGTTATTTATTTCTTCTATAACTCCATTTATGTTTGATCTGGCAGCATGACTACTTTTTTTTCTCCCCACTGTACTTGGATCTTTTTAAGCCAGTTTTGTTTTTTGGCTATTCAGTTTTGTAAAATGGTTGGAAGTTTATTACAGAGAGCAGAGACAACACAACTGCAAATACTTTGTTGTCTATACCTGGACAGAATAATAGATTTTCAGTGACCAACAGACTAAAGAAGGGATGTTGTTGATTCTAAGTGATGATATACAGAGTAATTTATGGACTGAGAAATGAGATAGTTGCATCTGCAGTGCTCACTGTTAATATATACTATGACTGTAATCTGAACCTTATTGTTGATGGACTGGGGTAATTTATCCACATTGGAACTGTGCAGATTAAGGACTGCCTGTATTAAAAATCTTTCAAAGTGTTAGTAGGGTTGTGTTGCTTCCAGAGGCTGAAGGGAGAATCTGACATCTTGTCTTTTCTGCCCATATCGAAGCTGCCTGTTTTCCTTGGTTCATGATCACTTTCTCCATCTAGCATCTTCGAAGATGGTTTTCTTTTTTGTCTGACCACTATTTCTGTTACTACCTCTCATTCTACAATTCTAATCCTCCTGCCTTCCTATTAAAAGAAGCCTTGTGCATAATCCAGAATTATTGTTATGTGCCATCAAGTCAACTATGGCTCATAACTACTCAGTGAACAATAGCTCTGAACTTTGCCCTATTCTGAGCCAATCTTACTGTCTCGCACCTGCTCGCATTGCCACAGTCACTGTGTCAATCCTTCTCCCCAGGGTCTTCCTCTCCTGCACTGACCCTTCACCCTTCCAAGCATGCTGTCCTTCTCCAAGGACTGGTCCCTCTGGGTCACATGCCTAAAGTAAGTGAAATGGAGTTTCAAAGTCCTTGCCAAGGAGCAACCCAGCTTCACCTTCTCCATGACAAAGCAGTTTGTTCTCTTGGCAGTCTGTGGTATGTTCAGTACTCTTCTCCAGTACCACAACTCAGAGGCATCGATTCTTCGTCTGTCATCCTTATTCATTGTCTGGCACTCAGCAGCATAGCAAGCAGTTGAGAAAATCATGGCCTGAATTAGGTACACTGTAGTCTCTAGACAGACATTATTGTTGTTTAGCACTCTGGAGAAGTTCCTGATAGCAGACTTACTTAAAGCAACTTGTTTTTTACTTTTGACTGCTAATACATGTTGTTTGTGGATCCGAGCAAGATGAAACTGTTCTTCTCCACCCATCTAGTTGTAGTCACTTGGTCCAGGGATGAGAATCTTTGTTTTCTTGATACTGAGATATAATCCATATTAAAGATTATAGTCCTTGACCTTCTGCTCCTCCTCAGATTTGGCTTGCAAAATTGTGTCATTTGCATAATGCAGGTTGTTGAGTGTTCTTCCTGTTCTGATGGCACATTCTTCTTCATAAAGTCCAGCTTTCCAAATGATCTGTTCCACATATATATACTGAAAAGGTATGGAGAAAGGACACATCCCTGACATCCTTTCTTGATTTTTGAACCATACAGTGTTCCCTTCCTTTGTTCAGACAGAAATTCCTGGTCAAAGTATAGGTTTCTCATGAACACACTCAAGTGCTCTGGGATTCCCATTCTTCTTAACATTATCCACAATTTGTTGTGATCCACACAGGTAGCTCTCTTCCGGATTTCTTGGCTACATTTGTTTATTGAAATAGGTCAGTTGGTATTCCATCAATTCCTGCGGCCTTATTTTTTTCCATTTCCATCAGAGCAGCTTGACGCCCTCCTTCAATGCCATTGCTTCTTGATCATATGCTATTTCCTGAAATGTTTTTTATTGGCCATTTCTTTTTGGTTCAGTGACTCTGTTTTCCTTCTATCTTTGGAAGCTTCCTGGATCATTCAGTATCCTGCTCATAATATCCTTAAGTATTACAACTGGAGGCTTTAATTTGTTCTTCAGTTTCTTTAGCTTAAGAAATGCCAAACGAGTTCATCCCTTTTGATTTTTGTTTTGACTTCTTGGCCTTTTCATGTAATATTCAGAATCTCTTGCCATCCTTCTTGGTCTTTTCTTCCCCCTCTGTCTTTGTAATGACCTCTTTGAAAACCCTGTGAACAATCCAGAATAGTATGTGTTTAATCAAACTGCAAAATTCCTGTAGCATACAATGTATTATAATTACACGTTTCAGAGGTTAGATGTGCTCATCATTTAAAAAACTTCCGATACTAAATCACTGTCATCGGGTGCTACCAAGTCAAATCCGACTTAGAGTGAGCCTATTGGACAGAGTAGAGGTACTCCAAAGGGTTTCTGAAGCAGTATATCTTTATGAAAGCAGATTGCCTCACCTTTCTCCTGAGGAGTGGCTGGTATTCATACCACCAACTCTGTTTAGCAGCTCAGCATTTACCTACTGTGTCACCAAGGCTCGGTTGGGCGTAATTGTTATTAAGTACTGTTGAGTCGAATGCGACTCATAGTGACCCTGTGAACAACAGATCTGAACCCTGTCTAACCTGTGCGATTCTCATCATCTGTGATGACTTGAGCCTATTGCTGCAGTCAGTGTAAATGCATCTCATTGAAGGTCTTTCTCCTTTTTGCTGACCCTCTACTTTTCCAAGGATGATGTCTCTTTCCAAGGAATAGCCTCTCCTAGCAACATGCCTAGAGTGTATGAGAGGAAGCTTTGCTATCCTTGCCTCCAAAGAGCACTTTAGTTTCAAGAAAATGAACAATTGGACATCCTTAGAGGCCTATACTTCTGCCTACCCTAGATTTCAAAATATGTGGATGAGAGAGATAATGAGACATTTGCAGAGCTGAGATTCTAACACTTTGAGGTTTTGGTGTCTATACTTTGCCATCACATCTGTTTGATAAACTAAAGCATGATTAAAATGTAACTTTTTATAGTCATAGTGTCTTATTTTCCCCCACAGGCTATATTCCCAAAGCTTGGATTGGCACGGCTATGGACCTTCGAGAAGATAGGTTAGTGAAAATTAAAAAAAACCAAACCAATTCCTTTTAACCTCTGTTTCCGTCTTTTTAGGTGTTTGTTACTGTCAAGATAACTTTTCTTAGACTTAGCCTTTAAAAATAGAAAAAAAATTTTAATGTGTAAAATATGCATATAGTTTAATATTCCAAAGGTGTACAAAAGGATATATCATGAAAAAGATTCCTTTCCCCATTTCTAGACTTTTGATTTCTGTTTACAGAAGTAAGCAATGATAATCCATTTTTTGTTAGATTGTATAAGATTGTTATTACGTGCCATTGGGTCGACTTGGCTCATAGCTACCCTGTGAATAAAGGATCTGGATCCTGACCTGTGCTGTGCCATCCTCATCATCTCTGCTATATTTGAGTCCATTGTTAGAGTCACTGTGTCAGACCATCTTGTTGAGGATCTTCCTTTCTTATGCTGACCGTCTGCCTTTGCAAGTATGATACCCTTTTCCAAGGAAAAAACCTCTCCTAGCAACATGCCCAAAGTATGTGAAGCCTCACTAGCCATGTCTACAAGGAATATATAAAATTAGACTTCCTGAATTCCATGGGCTAGGTTTCTATATTTTCATTATTATTATTCATCTTCTGCTGTATTATAGTAGAAAACCATAGTTGTTGTTGGTCAGTGCCATCAAGTTGAGTATGACTCAGTGCCCCTGTGAATAGCAGATGTGAACTCTTTTTCTATCCTGTGCCATCCTCACATTTCCTGACACACTAGAGCCCATTGAGGCAGTCACCATGTCAGTCCTTCTGGTCGAGGTTCTTCCTCTCCTTTGCTGACCCTCCACCTTTCCAAGCATGATGTCATTCTCCAAGAAATAGCCCTTTCTAGCAACGTGCCCAAAGTATGTGCGGCAAAGCCCTCATCATCGTTCTTGTCTGCAGGATAGATTAATTCTGTTTGCAGTCCATGGGATGTTCAGTGCTCTTCTCCAACACCACAGCTCAAAGGCATCAACTATAGTAGTGTGGTATTATTCAGAGACAATCAAATTGAGTAAAATCATATGACCAGGTGAAAAGTCATAGGTGGCAGTTGAGTGATAGTACTGGGGTGTGCTATTTACTACTACTTTCCCTTATCTACCCTTTTCGTTTTTTTTAAAAAGCTATGGTGGAAATGTATGCGAATAAAACATTTCATAGTTTATATACACACAGCATTAGTTACATAAGTCATGTTATAAAATCCCTATCTTTTAAGTTTTTTATTTACTACTGTTAATGTAAATTCAATGCCCCTACCTGTGGTCTTTCTGTATCATTGTAGAAATTGCCGGTGAGGGTTCTCAATTTTTGCTAACTTCCAGAAGGAAGCACTGGTGCCCTAATGGTAAGGAGTTGTACAGTTAACCTAAAGGCAGGTGGTTCGAATCTGCCAGCTGTTCTGTAGAACAATGGACCATTTCTTCCCATGCAGTTTATAGCCTCTAAAGTGTCTGCTATGAGTCAATTTCAACTTGATGGCAATGAGTTGGCTTTTTAAAAATCTACACAATGGGGTAGAATTATAATTAGTATCACTCTAAGGTACAGTTCTCTGAGACAGACTTCAGAAATGTCTTCTCTCTCTAAACTTTTGCCAGTTCTGACACTGTCCTTCCATGGCACTTTCTACTTCTCTGTTGTATTTGATAATTCATTGCATTGGCCACACAGACCTCAGACAATACTCATGATTATGAGGCTTATTATGGAAGTAACAGGCTATCATTAAGCATTAGAAAAGACTCAAGATACAATTCTTCTTTCAGGACAGCATCTTCTAACAGCTGTGCCCATAGGTTAGCCTCTCCCTGGCTTTTGGCCCCTTTGACCTCAAGGGCATGACTGCTCTGCTCGGACACATACTACAGAGCTCGTTAGCTACTCTGAGAGGTGCCCACTCAGAGGCTCTCTACCCTGCCATTGAGCTGCCTGCCTGAAGGCACTCGACTGTCTTCTGCTCCTTGGATTGTTGATCTTCACTCTGTCAGGTGCCTGCACACACTTCATCCCTCTCCAGCAGGCAAGCCACATGCACATTACTTGCATTAGCAGCAAGTCTGCTTGTTTAATCCTCTTAGTGGGTCATAGGAACTTTATTTGTATAAAATAAAATGTTATTTTTTATTTCTAAGCCCCACCCAGTCTTAGAAAGGCTGTATATAAATACCCATCAAAAGTCATAGAGGCTAACTTGTACTGTTTCGGATTGTTACATGTAAATGTTTGTGTCTTGCTAAGAGATATTACAGTTTCTATAGTATAGAGGTTTCAATTCCTAATTTTTAGAAAGTTCTTAGGTAAAATCGAATCTTTTGTTTAATCGTTAGAAACCAGAAGCTTGCGGGGGGAGGGGGGACGGGTTTGTGCGGGGAGAAGGGTGCAACAATGAATGAATGGAATTCCAAAATCTCTAGATGTTCATTGAAATGAAAAATAAACTAAATTTAAAAAAATATACAATCTGAAATGTATACAACTAAGTGTAACTTAAAAATTAACAATAAATTACTCTACAAAAAAAAAAAAGAAAAACAGAAGCTTGGATCATTTACTAGGATAACCTATATTTTAAGCTAGGTCTAATTGAAAGCAGAAAAATGATGAATTTTATAGAAATTGATGATAATGCCTTTTCTTCTTTCATTTTGAAAATTCTTGTAAGGCACGGTATCTCCTTTGTGTTCATTATGAATACCCAGTCCTCAGTATGTATTTACTTAACAATGAGAAGTAAGCACAGTATTTATTCACAGACCTCCATCTTCCTGGTAAATATGAGGCACAGTGCTGGGCACTTGTAATCTAAATGACTTTAAAGCTCATTATAGACAGAGGAATTGGAATGACGAAATTATGCCAACATTACCTGGATGAAGAAGTCTCTGGGTGGTGGGCACAGTTAGCACTCAGACCCATGCAGCCTTGCTGTGGAAATGGGTTGTAGTGCATGGGTTGCCAGGAGGGCACTGAGAGTTGGAGAGATCATGTGATAGATCTATACTTAATAATTTTTTTAAAACCTCAGAAAATGGATGGCTGTTTGGTCGGTTCTGGTTCATAGTGACGTTGTAGAGCTGTAGGATTGCACCCTAGGGCTTCCCAGGCTATCCTCGTTGCTGACCTAGAGGGCTGCATCTTTGCCCTGCAGAGAGGCTGACAGGTGTGAACTACAGGCTTTTTGGTTAATAGCCAAGTGTGTAAGCCCTGCACCACCAGAGTTTTCTATCTAACTGAAACAATCATAAATGATAGAATTGGGGGGTTCAATCTTGGTTTTCACAATTGGTAGTTGTGTAGGATATGATGCATTTTTAGAAACAGTCAGATTTTTGGTACTATAATACAGCATTAGCTTTATTTAGCATTCTAATGACATTTCTTAAATTGCTTTAAATGTAAAGAATAGTTATTTTTAGTTGCTAGTGTGTTATTTATGAAACTAGTCAAAGTGAGATAATAATCACGTTTAATGACTTGTATATAATCAGATTGCAAAGCAAAAATAATTAATTTCATCCAGCCTCTTGTAATTATGTTTATAGGCTTGACTTACTATTCCCCCATGGTATATGATGCTGAAAATAAGCCACACAGGAAACTGCAGTGTCAGTTTGTTGTTACTGAGTTCTGTTGTGTCAGAACTGGCTTATAGCTGACCCTCCAGCAGGTATTTAGAGGCAGTAAATTGTATGGTAGGAGATTACCCATCTTTCTCCTGCGGAGGAGCTGGTGAATTCGAATTATGTACTCTTAGTTTGTCAGTACAGTTACTATTGAGTCACCAATTCTGTGTGTGTTGTGTGCCATGGAGTCGAAACCAACCTATAGCTGACCCTTCAGCGGATTTTCAGAGACAGTTAATCGCATAGGAGTCGTCTGTCCATCCTCCCATGGAGCAGCTGGTGGATTTGAACCATGTGCTTTCAGGGTTGCAGCACAACTTCTTACCATTAGACCACCAGAGCTCCCTAAGCCATCAGAGCAGTATCAGGACTACTAATTTAGGTCTACTCATCTCTTAAAACTCTTCTAAGGTACCTGGGAAAGAACTCCATACTTCTCCAAAAGGAGAAGAATTTTACTATTACTTAGAAATAAAAGATTTCTTTGTTTTTCAGTGTGTTGTTTAAAGTTGTAAATTATTTAGATTGTGTGCTTCCCATAGGATTAAATAGTACTTTCTGCTTTTATAGGCAGTTAAATCCTCTTGACACTGTGAGTGGTCTCTTGAATCTCTCATTACTCTACCATGTCTGGCTCTGTGGTGTCTTTGTCTTAACAACTTGGTACATCTCTTGGATACTCTTCAAAATCTATGTTACAGAGGTTAGTAGTAAATTTTTTGTTTATGCTTTTATGTTGTGGAGTGTACAGATTGATTTTCTAGTAGATTAAAAGTCATTATGCAGAAAAAAAGTCAATATGCTACACTGAAGCAGTTTTGATAAATTAGATTTTTGTTCCATAACATTGTTAGAGACCTTATTTGTAGCCATCATTTACTTGCTTGTTTTTTCCCCCTCTGAGGAACAGTTCACTTAACGGTTCACCAACTGGGTTAATAATGCTATGCACTTACCATACTTTATCTAATTCTTCAGAGGCTTCAATTTCTCTAATAAGTACACATTAAATAGACCTGAATTTTAAATTGCTTTTATTTGCGTTTGCTATATTGTTGTTGTTGTTGTTGTTGTTAGGTGCTATCAAGTCAGCTATGACTCATAGCAACCCTATGAACAACAGATCTGAACCTTCCCCTCTCATGCTTCATCCTCACGATACCCAATATCATATCCTTGAGCCTGTTGTTTTATCACTGTGTCTATCCATCTTGTACTGTTACAGTACAGAGTGAAATCTAAGACAATAAAATACTTGTTTTTTGAAGACCATTTTGATGTTTATTTTGTAAATGAATTATAAATTGAGATCATAAAATCAGACAAAAATATTTTTAAATGATTGGAATTAGGTTTTTTTATCTGAATCTTAAATTTGTAGATCATACTGGGTTTTCATTCAGTCATTCATATACATTTTATTTCATAACAATTACTGTAGTAGGATAATGTAATAATTAATTACACTGTCTGATTAACCCCTAATTGCATTATCCTTCACACAACATGTTTTATTCCTTTTCCCCTCAGTTTTTGTAGGTTTGTATCCTTTTGTGGCTTCAAGAAAATACTTGTTTCTGTTGTTGGAAGATAGGTCTAATAAAAATTGGTACAGTAGCATTTTAGAAAATTGTATGTGTTTACATACTGCAGCTTGTTTTTGCAACAAGCAGTAAAGAAATTAATGGTATTTGCACTATTCTAGAATAAATTTTAGTTGGTGCTTGCTTACTGAGTGTTTTGAGATCCTGAAAATGTCTATTTTTTGGTCTTTATATTTTTATTATATTTGATAGGCTCATCTGTTTCCTGTTCAACCACCATTTGCGGAAGAATCAGATGAATGCCTTCCTAAAGTTTTAAACAGCAATCCTCCCCTCATCATAAAGGTACTAGAATTTTGGATTTTGTATCTTTAAACGGCTGTCTCTAACTTGTCTTACAGAATGAGTTTATTAGTTACTGCTTTTAGATACATTTTTGAAGGCCCACCTTATTTTAATACTGATAGTGTAAAAGCCACTGCTATACTGAATGCTGTTTATGGTTTTTAGTTGTCATTCCAAGTTAATAAAATGTTATAAAATGTTGCAGCTTATATGTACAAGCTAGCTAATGGTCTGTATTTAGAATAAGTTTAAAAAAAAATTTCAAACAAAGAAAACAGTGATATCTTAATTACCATTAACTTTTTATAAACTTTGCCTTGTAGCCAAAAAAACATTGTCAATATTTTATTTCAATTGGTCAATATGTATTTTTTTAAAAATTGCTTTTTCAGTATATATGTTTTTGTACTCATACACAGTTTGCTGGGTTTTGTGACTAAAGTTGTTGTTGTTAGGTGCCTGTGACTCATAGCAACTCCATGTGCAACAGCCCTAAACCCTGCTCTATCCTGTGCCAATCTTATTGTCTCTGACACACCTACCCCCATTATTCCAGTCACTGAATCAGTCCATCTCATCAAGGGTCTTTCTCTCCTGCGCTGTCCCCCCATGCTGCCAAGCATGACATTTCCTCTCCAAGGACTGGTCCCTCTTTGCAACATGTCCAGAGTATGTCAGACGAAGCGTTAGAATCTTTGCCTCCCAGGAGCAGCATGGTTTCACCCTCTCTAGGGTGAATCTATTCATTCTCTTAGCAGTCCATGGTATATTCAGTACTCTTCTCCAACACCACAGCTCAAAGGCATCAATTCTACTATCATCCCTAGTCATTGTCCACCTCTCTGATGCATAACAAGTGATTGCAAAGACCATGGCCTGTATCAGGTACACCTTAGTCTCCAGACTGACATCATTGCTGTTCAGTACTCTGGAGAGGTCTCTGACGGCAGACTTTCCCAACGCAATACATCTTTTAATTTCCTGGCTGCTGGTGCCAAGAGAGTTCTAAAAAAAGGTGTTGATTGTGGAGTGGAGCAAACTAAAGCTGTATTTCAGTCTCTTTATCATCCATCATGATGCAGCCAGTTGGCCCAGTGGTGAGAATCTTGGTTTTCTTGATATTGAGCTTCAATCTATATTTAAGACTATAGTAGTAGTCCCTTACCTTCTGCAGGCAGGGTTTATATCATCTACATAATGCAAATTGTTGATGAGTCTTCCTTTAATCCTGATGCTACATTTCTCCTCATAAGAGCCCAGCTTCCCAGTTAATCTGCTCTACTTATAAATTGAAAAGGTATGGAGATAGGACACATCCCTGGCGTACACCTTTCCCAGTTTTAAACCATGCAGTGTTTCCTTGCTCTATTCAGATGACTGCCTCCTGGTCCTAGTATAGGTTTCATATAAGCACGATCAAGTATTCTGGATTCTCATTCTTCTCAGGGTTAGCCACAGTTTGTTGTGGTCCACACAGTCAAACACCTTTGCATAATCAATGAAACATAGACATTTCTCTCGTATTCCCTGCTTTCAGCCAAGATCCAATATCCCGAGTACCACGACCCCTTCTAAATCCAGCCTGCATCTCAGACACTTCTCTGTTGATGTGCTGGTCCAGTTGTTTTTGTATACTTTTCAGCAGTATCTTGTTTGCATGTGATATTAATGTTCAATAACTTCCATCCTCTGTCGAATCACCTTTCTTTGGAATGGGAACACATAGAGATCTCTTCCAGTCAGTTGGCCAGGTGGTTGTCCTCCAGATTTTTTGGCACAATTTGGTGAGCACATCTAGAGCAGCATCTGTTTGTTGAAATATATCAGTTGGTATACTGCCAATTCCTAGGGCCTTGTTTTTTTGCCAGTTCTTTCAGAGCAGCTTGAAGAGCAGCTTGAACTTCTTCCTTCATCACCACATACTCTTGCTCATACATTGTTTCATGAAATTCTTCTGTGTCTGCCAATTCCTTTTTTTTTACAATGTATACTTTTTCCATCTTTTAATACTTCCTAGATCATTTAATATTCTACCCAAAGCATCCTTAAGTATTGTAACTTGAGGCTTGAATTTGTTCTTCAGTTTCAGTTCTTTGAGCTTAAATGTTGAGAGTACTAATTTTAATAATACATATATATTGCCATGGGAAAGTCTGCCGTTGGGGGACCTCTCTAAAGTACTCAAGAGCAACGGTGTGTCTATGGAAACAAAAGTGCGTCTGGTGCAGGCCATGGTCTTTGCAATCACTTGTTATACTTCAGAGAGCTGGACAATGGCCAAAGGGGATAGAAGGAGAATTGATGCTTTGAGGTTTGGTGTTGGAGAAGAGTGCTGAAGGTGCCATGGACTGCTAAGAGAACAAACAGATTAATCCTGGAGAGGGTTAAACCGGGCTGCTCCTTGGAGGCAAGGATTCTGAGGCTTCGTCTGACATACTTTGGTCATGTTGTAAGGAGAGACCGGTCCTTGGAGAGAGACATCATGCTTGGGAAGGTGGAGGGCAGGTGCAGGAGGGGAAGACCCTCTGGGAGATGGATTGATTTGGTGACTGGGCAATCAGAATGAGTGTGTCGGAGGCAATGACAGGACAGAGCAGAATTTAGAGCTGTTGTACCTAGGGTCGCTATGAGTCACAAGCGACTTGATGGCACATAACAACAACAACAACAGCAACAACAACATATTCATAAGGCTCTCTATAAATCAGAATTACAGATAAGATTCTAATATCTCTTTCTCTGTGTGTGTGTGTGTAAAATCAAAAGAGAGTATAAAGTGTGCAATAGTTTAAAAGTCAAACAAAGTGGGAATAAATTGTTTTGACTCAAATTGCATTTTGAAGTTTTAAAGTTTTGACTTGCTAATGTAATTCTGCTAAAGGGTCATGATATTTTTAACAGATTTTAAAATAATTAGAAACCACAGTATTGGTCATGGTCTAGAGAAGTTAAAAAACTAATAAAATGAATTACTGAGGCTCTGATTGCATTTATGTATCAATCATGACTAATTTATTAGATAAACTTTAAGTATTACTCATTTGATTTTTTTTAACATGTTAATGAGCAGATGTTGGTCAGTGCTGCTTGCTGAGGTATAATAATGAATATGGCATCAGGTATCACCTGGAAAAGAAAAACGTACAAGATAGTAAAACGTTCCTCTAGTAGGTTTCAGGAGAGTAGTGCATCACAGAGGGAATGTTAGCTTGCAGTGTAAGTAAAGAAAAAATGTTTAGTAAAAACTTTAACAGATATTGCATGTCTGCATTGTGCCGTCTACTGTATGAGGTAGCCAGCAAGGTGTTGTGCTTTCTTTCTTGGACCTTACAGTTTGATGGAACATCCAAATTGATAATTACAGCACAATATATTAAGTGCCACTTTTGAGATCTATGTTAGTGTAGGGAGATGATGGGGAGGGTTCCAGGGAAAACTGATATTTGTTTCCCACCACAGAGTTAGGAAATAGCATCGAATTTGTAGTTCCGTGTGCCTTGAACCTGAGGTGGATCGGGGAGGGTAGAGGTAGTAAAGTTTTGGACATCTGGAAAGGAAGATTATGGTTCTGTACTATTTCTTTCATGAAAAAGCAAACATAATTTCCTTGAAGTATGTACTATTAAGTATGCACAATTAATAATTAAAGTATTATATAGAGGTTAAAAAACTAATATTGTGTATTTTTCCCTTTAAGTATTTGGCCTTACAGGACCTGATGTTGCTTTCTCAATATTCTCCTTCTCGAAGACAAGAAGTTTTTAGTCTTAGCCAACCAGGTATTGCTGAAAGTAATAAACACAAATAGGCATATTTATATGGAAAGTATTATACTGAAAGTTTTCGATAATGAGTTCAAGAAGTGAATTTTTTATTTCATGTGCAAATGTACTTTTTATTTATGATCCTATACTATCCCTCTTTTTTAAGTTTTTTAAAATTCATTGTTGTGCATTTTCTTCTCCCTTTGCCCTTCCCCCCTCCCATCCCACCTCACAATACAATACACCCTTTGTTCCAGATTGTTGTCATACATATAATGCCCAATCATATATTCCTTTCAGACAGTTCTTCCCCTCATCTGATCTAATGCAGTGTTCATTAGCTATCCATTTCCCCATTCTCTCAACCCCTCCTTGTCTGTCCTTTTTCTTAACAGTGGTATTATGCAGTATTTATCCTTCTGTGACTGAGATATTTCGCTAAACATAATGTCCTCCAGGCTCTCCTGTGTTGTATAATGTTTAACACATTCATAGTTTTCAGTGCTACATAATATTCCATCGTGTGAATGTACCATAGTTTTTCTATCCATTCATTTGTTTGTGGGCTCTTGGGATGCTTCCATCTCATGCTGTTGTGAATAGCTCAGCAGTAAAGACGGATGTGTATTTGTCTGTTTGAGTTGCAGCTCTGGTTTCTTTAAGGTATATTCCCAGTAGTGAAATTGCTGGTCAAATGGTATTTCTATTTCCACCTTTTTGTGAAAGCACCTTCCATAGTGACTATACCATTTTACATCTCCACCAGCAGTGAATAAGAGTTCCAGTGTCTCCACAACCTCACTAGCATTTGTTGTATGCTCTCTTGTTGAACTTTTCTATTAATCCTGGGATTAGATTGTATCTCTTAATTGTTTTGATCAATAAGTGAAATCTTAATTTAAGTCTTAAATAGCTATTTTTGTTGCTATTAGTAGAATTGATATAACTTATAAAAGTTGAAGGCTTATTTCCTTAGCAGCCTCATTGCCTTTAACCTAAAGAAATTATTCAGGAGATTAGAAGTCTTAGAGAAGAGTGACATAGAAACTCTAAATAAAAGTTTTAATGCCAGAGTGCCTCTTAAAAATTAAGTGGTCTAATATCTAAATGAGTGATCTAAGTCTCTGTTAAGTGACTTTTGACCCTAATTGCAGAACTCTATCTCCCCACTGTGTTGCTTTACCTCTTAAGAAAAAAAAAACCAAATCAACGAAAAACAGAAGGAACTAGATTTCACAGTGGCTCAGAAATGCTATAGGCAGCTCGGAAACACTTCTTTTAACTTGACAGACTCTTCCAGAAAATAGCTTCTACCAGGTCTCTGCCTTATTCTTAAAGGGAATATTACCCAGCTCCAGTCACCAATGGAGAGCAAAGACTCAGAAGCTCTCCATCTTCTCTAATCAGCTTTTCATTATTTTGCCATATTTGCTTATCTTCAAATTGTATGTTAACTCATCTGTAGTTACGTATTACCTGGAAAAGTTATACATAGATAGAAATGATTGGTGCCACTTTCCTTTTAATAGCGTGAGCAATCTAAAATGGATGCTGTAGAAAAGAAACTATAGCAGTACTTTACCATCAGACAAAGATTTGCTTAAGAGTTCTCTGTACATGAAACAGTTTCACCAGTGATATAAGTAAACTAATGGGTATGCTACAGTTTAACTAGACTACGTAATCACTTTTTTAGTGGTCGTCAGTTGCAGTAGTGCAGAATGTGTGAGACTTACTGATAAAGATTTGCTCAGAGTTAAGTTGTAAATTGGGACATATTTAAGGTAGAATCTACATGGATAGAGACTAATCAATACTCAGAATGGGTAAACCAGTTTTTAATGTACTCTACTGTTTTTTTTAAAGTCAGTCAAAATAATTTTGGGGGATTGTATACCAATTTTAGTTGCGCTAATAGTTAAAAGTTTCTGATAACCACTACCATCAGACCAGCCTCTACTGTTTCCAATAGATAATGAAGCCCAGTTGATTTTCTGAATTGACAGCTTTAGGAGACAAAATTTTAGAAAATGAAGAGATAATCAGAAGTAAGGTGATTTTTTTTTTTAAAGAGTATGGATCATAGTTGTTTAAATTAAATAGATAGGAAATATGTTTATAAATTACCCAAGTGTAATGTATGATCATTGTTAGATTCAGGGGCCTAGTGGAAAGAGTGCTGTTCACCCAAAAGTGATGCCTATGCTGATTCTGATTTAGTTGTGGCTTCATGGGAGAAAGCTGTGCAGTCTCCTGCCATGTGATGTATAGCCTCCAAAAACCCACTGGAGGCACAGCTCTGAATTGAGTTTTTGAGCTTTTCTGCAGTTGTGATAGCAGATAGGAGCTATTGCATAAATGAAAACATAAGATAGCACATAAGGTCAGACAACAGTTCAGAGACCATTGAGGACCTTGGGTTGCATCACATTAGACACATTGGTGTTTCTTCTTTTAGTCTTCAGACTACTCAGTTCAACTAGTAAAGCAGCCCTGATCTTTTTCATTTAAACTTAATAAATACTGAGTTGCCATGTATGAGGTGACATAATTGTAAGTACTAGTTGAATTAAAAGATGTGGACTCTGATAGAAAATGTAATGTAGCTCCCCCTTTCCCCATTTCGTCTCTACTTTGAGAAGAGAATTGAAAATTATCTGCATTTTAAAGACTGGTTTTTGGACCTCGTAGGTGGACATCCCCACAATTGGACAGCCATTTCAAGGGAGTGTTTGAATCTTATAAATGATATGACTCAGAAACTGGTTGTCTACCAAGAAGCCGCTGCTATAAATGGAAGAGTAGGATCTTCATACCCAGTGGAACCTAAGATATTGAATTGCCCAGGTAACTTCTAGTATAGAAGTATAGAACTCCTAGGAGAGGAGACAGCATTAACTCTTTATTTTTTTCCAATAAAGAACATAGTAGTTAATCTGAGGGTACGTTTATGAATGTGTGGTATATATACTTAGAAAGTACTGATGAAACTTCCGCATTTTGTACTGAACTAAGGGGGGGGGGGAAAGACCAGTGTGGTGGTGTTGTATATCGTCGAGTCAGAATCGATCCATAGCTGACCCTCTGGCGGGTTTTCAGAGGCAACAGGAGGAGATTGGCCATCCATCTCCTGTGGAGCAGCTGGTGGCCTCAAACCGTTTGCCTTTGGGATTACAGTGCACTTTCTTACCAGTAGGCCACGAGATGTATTATTGTTGATAGAAAAATTCAGCCCAGTGTGTGGTGATGGTATTAGAAGGCTAACAAAATAGTAGTCATGGAAGAGAAGATTTTTGCTTATACTAATACAAATCCGGAGTTCTGGTGGCCTAGTGGCAAGAAGCTGCACTGCAATCCCAGAGGTATGAGGTTCAAATCCAAAAACGACTGGAACAGCACATCAACAGAGAACTACCAGAAGTCCAGGCTGGGTTTAGAAGGGGTCTTGGTACTAGAGATATTGTAGCTGATGTTAGATGGATCTTGGCTGAAAGCAGAGAATACCAGAGGAATGTATATCTGTGTTTCATTGACTATGCAAAGGCATTTGACTGTGTAGATCATAACAAACTATGGCTGACTCGGAGAAGAATGGGAATCCCAGAACACTTGATCATTCTAATGCGAAACTTATACTTGGACCAGGAGGCAGTCGTCAGAACAGAGCAAGGGAACACAGCATGGTTCAAAATTGGGAAGGGTGTACGCCAGGGATGCATCCTATCTCCATACCTTTTCAACCTATATACAGAACAGATTATCCGGGCGGCTGGGCTCTATGAGGAGAAATGTGGGGTCAAGATTGGTGGGCGATTTATCAACATTCTGTGTTATGCGGATGACACAACCCTGCTTGCTGAAACTGAAGAGGACCTGAAGCGCCTGCTGCAGAGTGTCAAGGACTGCAGCCTACAATATGGATAGAGGCTCAATGTCAAGGAGACAAAGATTCTCACCACTGGACCAATCGGCAGCATCAGGATGGGTGGTGAAGAGATTGAGATTGTACACAGCTTTAGTTTGCTTGGCTCCATAGTCAACAGTCTTGGCACCAGCAGCCAGGAAATTAAAAGGCGCATTGCAATGGGAAAGCCTGCTGTTAGGGACCTCTCCAAAGTACTGAAGAGCAATGGTGTCTCTCTGGAGACTAAGGTGCGTCTGATACAGGCCATGGTCTTCACAATCACTTGTTATGCATCAGAGAGTTGGACAGTGACCAAGGAGGATAGAAGGAGAATTGATGCCTTTGAGCTGTGGTGCTGGAGAAGAGTATTGAGAATACCATGGACTGCTAGGAAAACAAACAGATTTGTCCTGGAAAGGGTTAAACTGGGTGGCTCCTTGGAGGCAAGGATTCTGAGGCTCCGTCTAACATACTTTGGACATGTTGTGAGCAGAAACCGGTCCTTAGAGAGGGACATCATGCTTGGGAGGGTGGAGGGATGGCGCAGGAGAGGAAGGCCCTCTATGAGGTGGATTGATTCAGTGACTGGGATAATTGGGATGGGAGTGTTGGAGACAGTGTGATTGGCACAGGACAGAACGGAGTTTAGGGCTGTTGTACATAGGGTTGCTATGAGTCGCAAGCGACTCGACAGCACATAACAACAACAACAATACAAACCCAGGTGAATCTTTGGAAGTTCTGGATACAATATCCTGAAAACAAAAGTTGCTGGGCAGTATCCAGTGAGGCATTAAGTTTACTGTGTCAGGCAGGGTGTCTTAATAAAATGTTAGTACTCTTTCAGTTTGAATGATGAAGGCTCTGAGGAAAAAGTACAAGTGGAGGAAACTGTGCTGTTTCACCGAATTCATTAAGTCAGAAGTGCTTCTGAATGTAAGGCTGACAGAGGGCTCCATGTTCAGATGTTTGCTGGAGCCATGCATTTAATGAACGTGTGTGAAACTGCCAGGGTGAACTGGCTGGGTGAAGACTGGGATTGTAAACTGGAAAGCATAGACTTTATCTGAAGGGGGAAGCTCTGCAAGCCTTGTCCTCATGTGGGTAAAATGATATGATAAATGGGTACTTTCTATATTTTCATATACAGAAATATAAAATATAGATGTAATTTGCTTAGCCAAATAACAGTTACAGATAGGAATCTGCTCTAAAACTGGCTAGATATTATTAATGCAGTGAATAAAATTGTTGCAATTTAAAAATTAAATGTAATGAGTTAATTCAAAACCAGAAATTGATCTTAAAGATGAGAATGTTCATGTAGAGACATAACAGAAGAGGCTAACAGGAAAAGATGTGTAAAGCTCTTTGGTTTTTATCAACTCTTGACTCTTAGGATGCATGGTCATTGAATTCCATAAGTATAATATGGATCTGGACTATTAAAAGGGAATATAGCATACTGAACTTTATGTAAAAACCTTGAATAAAATGTGGAAATACATAAAATTTCAGAATCTTTATACTGCCTCTGTTCTTTTTATAGAAGAAATTACTTTTCAGACACCAAAATCTAGCCAGGTGACTCAGCCTTCAGTGCCTCCATTAGTTAAAACATCACTGTTTTCTTCAAAATTATCTACACCTGATGCTGTAAGTCCCCTTCGGGCCCCTTTTGCCTCTGGTGTAATGAACCGAGTGACTGGCATTTTGGATGTAAACACTTGCTGTGGGTCACATCAAAGTCCTCAGCTTAGAAGAAGAGAGCCAAGATTATGGTCATCTGCATCTGGTGAGTACTGTTTCCACAGTTTGAAATGTCAGAGTTAGAGAAATCAGACAGCCTAAACTTATGTTATTGTTTTTTTTATTATTGTTTTGTTTTTTTAATAGATCAGCAGATGACAGAATTTTCTAATCCTTCTCCATCTACTTATGTTGGTTCTGAGGGTAAGATAGTGGGACAACCCAACGTGATCTATTCATGGATTCAAAATAAACGTGAACAGGTAGGACCTCACATATTAGTAATTTCGTATAAGTAAACCATCAGGAATAAATAATGGATTCTCTTGTTTGTTTTCCAACGTTATGTATGAAGTTGAATCATGAAGTTGCCAACCTTCAGCTGATTCTGAGTTATACAAATGGTAGTTCTATTTGGCTTAACCTAAAACAAGGTCTTTAATCTCTGTATACTTTCATTAAAAATATTTATGACATTCTTTATATGTATGGAATGTGATTTTATACACTGAGAAAATAACAACACACTAAATAAACCCCTTGCCCACATAAAGTTTACATTCTAGTGATGAGAAACAGATCAAATATATTTAACTGTATTTCTTTGAATATAAAATGCACTAATTATAAGGTTTTTTTAGTTTATTGTTTTTATTTCCCCTTTTTTTAATCATATTTTTTATTAATTTTAATGAAAATTTACAGAGACTTTGGATTTCCATTCATTCATTGTTGTACTTTTCTCCCTGCCCACCCCTCCCCACACAGTACACTCTTTTCTTTGAAAAGTAAAAGAAAAATTCTTTCATTGTCATATAATCCCCCCAAGTCCACTCCATGATGCAGCCTTCGTTCTGGACTCCTGTCATGACAATAATATCCAAACACTTATCCCCTTAAAACAGTTTTCTCCCTCATCTGTTTCAATGCAGTCTACATCATTTATCCCATCTTTCTTAGTCTCCCCCCAACCCCGATGTCAGTCCTGTTTTGCAACGGTGGCACTATGCAGCATTTGTGCATTTAATTGTATGTATTGTTAAGAAAAAGTTGCCATCTATGGCCTGCTATCAACTGTATGATGCATCTGATATATGATGTTAAAATATAAAGAATATGAGTTATAAATGCAAAGAAATATAATTTAAAAACTTGAAGCATGTAAGGAAGATAGAAGATACTTAAGAGAGAATATAATTTTATGAGGGGCAACCAGGAAGTTTCATTGATAAGAAGACCTGATTAGAGGATGGAAGGGAAGAGGAGAAAAGGTTAGCAAAAGGTCCAAGTTCAGAGGGGAGAGTGGGCTTGGCATGTTTTAGGAACAAGTAGATGCCAGTGCAGTTGCAACAGAGTGAAGGGAGAATGGTAGGTGGGTGACACAATCTGAGAGCTAGCCAGCATTCAGTTGTTACATGTCATCAAGTCAGAACCAATTCATAGCTGACCCTCTAGCAGGTTTTCAGAGGCTGAAAATCACACAAGAGGAAATTGTCCATCTTTTTCCCATGGAATAGCTGGTGGATCCAAACTGCATGACTTTGGATTGGCAGCACAATTCCTTATCCACAGGACTGTTATTAGCAAGACTGTTAATTGTATTTTGTTGTAAAGTATTTTGTTGTAATTGTATTTTTGTTGTAATTGTTGTAAAGACTGATTTTTTCTTTAAGTGAGGTAGAAAGCTTCTGGATCGTTTTACCCACAAGAGTGACATGATGTGATGTAAAAGGTGGTTGTTGTTGAGTGCTACTGGGTCAAGCTTGACTCCTGGCAGCCCTACAAACCCTGCCTGATCCTCATGATCTTGGATGTGCTTCAGGCCATGGTGGTGGTCACTGTTCAGTCCATCTCAGTGAGGCCTTCCTCTCTTTAGCTGACTGACTCTTGAAATGTCCAAAGTGTGTGAGATGATATTTCATCGTCTTGGCTTCTGAGGACTACTCTGGAAAGTAATGAGGGGCTGGGTATATTTTGAAGGAAGAACAGGTTACTGTTGACCCTAAAGGTTTTAGCCTGAGGCTCTGGAAGACTATCATTGCTGTTGATTGCATTGCAGTGTACTGATTTTGGAGGAGGTGATTTGATAGAGTTGAGGTGGGGAAATCAGGAGTTTGCATTTAGACATGTCAGTTTTGACATATCTCTGGGGACCTTACACTGCCAGGCCAATAGGCAGCCTCATGATAGCTGGAGAAAGGGTTGAGGTTGTGTTAACAATTTCATCTTGCTTGGATCCACAGCCAACATATTTGGCACCAGCAGTCAAGAAATGAAAAGATGAGTTGCTTTGGGAGAGTCTGCTAAGAAGTTTGCTCTCAAAGACCTCTCCAGAGAATTAAAGAGATGTCAGTCTAGAGACTAAGCTGTGCCTGATCCAGGCCATGGTCTTCTCAGTTGCTTGTAATGCATCTGAGAGCTAGACAGTGAATAATGATAACAGAAGAAAATTTGATGCCTTTGAGTTGTGGTGTTGGAGAAGAGTATTGAACCTACCATGGACTGCTAAGAGAACAAACAGGTCTGTCCTGGAGAGGGTGAAATCAAGTTGCTCCTTAGAGGTAAGGATTTTGAAGCTCCATCTATCTCACTTTGAGTGTGTTGTCAGAAGGACCAGTCCTTGGAGAAGTACATTGTGCTTGGAAGGGTAAAGGGTTAGCGCAGGAGAGGAAGATCCTGGATGAGATGGATTGGCACAGTGACTGTGGCATTGGGGACAGATGTGGCAATGAGACGGTGAGGTTGGCACAGGATATGGCAAGGTCAGAGCCATTGTTTGTAGTGTTACTGTGAGTCATAGGTGATTCAGTGGCATATAACAGCAACATAGGGAGCTCTATAAAGCACTTACTGCAGAAGATCAAAGATTACAACCTCATGTGGATTATATCTCAACTTCAAATAAACAGCAGTCTTCACTGCACCAATAGCAGCAGCATGATAGGTGGAGAAAAGATAAAAGTTGTCTACGATTTAATTTTCTTGGATCCACAATAGATGCTTTTTTATTGTGTGGGAGAAGAGTACTGAATATCCTCCAAAAGAACGAACAGGTCTTCTCTTAGAGGAGGTGTAACCAGGGTGCATGCTCCTTAGAGGCAGGATGATGCAACTTCATCTCACATACTTTGGGCATGTTGTGAGGAGGGGCCAGGCCTTGGAAGAAGACAATATACTGATAAAAGTGGCGAGTGAGAGGAAGACCCCCTCAAAGATGGACTGACACAGTAACAATGAGCTTCGGCATATTAGAGATGGTGAGGATGGTGCAGAACAGTGCAAGGTTCAGATCTGTTCGAAGGGTCGCTGTGAGTCATAGTCAACTGGACGGGACATGGAAACAGTACAGAGCTCTGATGACATAATCCAAAGGGAATTGTGCTACTAACTCAAAGGCCATACCTTTCAGGCGGTTTGAATCCACCCGTGGCTTTGTGGGTGAAAGATGGTGGTTTCCTCCCATGGAATTGCAGTCTTGGAAAGTAGAGTTGAGTCTGAATTGGTTCAGCAGTGATTTTGAGTTTTGAGTTTGATTCAACCATCAAATATGGAGTAAGAAACTGGACATATATTTTGAGGTTAGGGATGATTTCTGAGCTAGAGCTAGAACTTTTGACATTATTAAGCGTTTAGACATTATTGAAACTCGTGAGATTAAAGCAGTAGTCCCAAGATTGGGGCCCTTCAGGTGATAAAAGGCAGAGAGTGAGAGGAACAAACACTGAGAGGGCTCAGTAAGGGGAGAAGAGAACCAAGGAAATTTCTCTAGGAAGAGGAAAATGTGTCACATGCTGAGTGTCAGGTAGCCTGAGAGGCAAACTAGGAATGTGTGAGAAATATGGAAGTCTTTGAGTCCTTGAGACAGGCTATTGAGTGGGACAGTGAGAATGAAAACTTGGAGGGGATCAGGCTAGTCAGAGGGGAATAGGAAACTGCCAATAAATAGAAGAGGAGGTGGGGAAATTGAGGGATCAAACTGGTTGACTGGTGAGGCTTTTTTTTTTTATTGGTGTTTTTAAAGTGGTAGAAGTAATGTTTGCTAATGGAATGATCAATTATAGAGAAAGAAAAACTAAAAATATAAACTTAAGGTCTCATATGGTTTTATATGTCACAGTACTCCTGTGACAGTCTTTGTGCAGCAAACTTACATGTTCTGTTTATAACATCCCTCTGGCAAGTCATAACTTTTGGATGAATTCATTTTCTTCTCCCTTGGAATATATAGTTTTTATCTTGACACTTTTTATGTAGTAAATAACTTTGTATCTTAGTGTTTTAATATTTCATCTTTTTTACATTTTTTTAAAGAATTTTTTAACATTTCACCTTACGTTTTAGTCGATTGGGTGTTCAGGCAACAAAGTCTTTTGGTACTATGAAGTTACAGGACAGGGCAATTGTAGAAAGTTGATAAAGAATATGGTCTAAGAAAATGTCACCAGAACAATCAGGAAAATTCCTTTTATTATATTAGGGTTATTTTTAAAAAAATTATTTTTATTTTCATTGTTGCACATTTTCTTCCTTTCTCCTTCCCCTCCCTGAGCCCATCCCCAAGTGCACCCCTTGTTTCATAGTATTGTCATACATAATGCCTAATTATATATTCCTTTTAAACAGTTCATCCCTTCATCTGTTCTAATGCAGTGTTCGTTATGTATCCACTCTTTTCCCATTCTCTGTGCAGCCCACTCATGTCTGGCCTGTTTTACAATAGTGGTGTTATGCATTGTTTGTCTTTTTGTGACTGAGATATTTCACTAAGCATAGTGTCTGCTAGGCTCCCCCATATTGTGTGATAATGTTTTATAAGTTTACTGTTTTTTCATTGCTGTATAGTATTCAATTGTGTGATTGTACCATAGTTTATCCATCCATTCATTTCATTTGTTGAATTCCATCTTTATGCTATTGTGAATAACATAGCAATAAATATGGTTTATTCCATCTCTTTGCAATCTCGTAGCAATAATGTAGCAGTGTGCATCCATCTGTTTGGATGGTGGGTCTGTTTTTTTTAGGGTATATTCCCAATAGTGGAGTTGCTGGGTCAAATGATATTTCTATTTCCAAATTTTTCAGAAAGTGCCAGACTGCCTTCTACAGTGGGTATACCATTTTGAATTCCTACCAGCAGTGAAGAAGAGTTCCAGTCTCTCTACAACCTTGCCAGCTATGACAGGGTTCTGATTAGATGGTTAGATATGTATAAATGGGCACAAATGTTAGATTAGTTGGCCCATCTTGATTATCTAACTTTACCATTGTAGGCTATTTATTTATGTTGTTTATTGTAAATATCACTGCTCTTTCTCTGCAAGATACTAGGTGTTTCTTTACTTTCATTGAAATTATTATGTGAATAGAACTGAAAACAATAATTATGCTAATTTTTTTCTTTTTTTTCCAACTCAGATTAAGAACTTCTTATCAAAACGAGTGCTCATAATGTATTTATTCAGTAAGGTAAGAATATGTAGTTATAGCATTGGGAATAGAGAAGAGGAAATAAGAAATGAGCAGCAGATAGGATCTTCTAAATATTTTATAGCTTAATCATACTGAGCCAGATGGCTTTGTCTAGCTAGGGCTTCACTGAGCCTCCTTCAACCAGTAGTTGCCCCGGACACACATCTCACCTTGGTGATTTCCTGAGGCTTCCCTCAGTAGTTGGCCTCCCGAGGCTCTTTAACGCAAGCAGCTTTGTGCTGATGTCCAGCATCTGCCTTTTCCCTTCTATCTGGATCTTCACGGCTCATTATTCTGTTAATATATCTTTGTGGCCAGTTTGGTGTTAAAAAGAGAGTTGACAGTTAGGTCACAGAGAGCAAACTTGTGATGGAAAAATGCAACTCAGGCAACAAACTAAATGACTTTCCAGTTTATTTGTCAGCTGCATTAGGAACATAAATCTGTTGCAGAAGCTAAAGATTATTTTGTGCTTACTATACAACCGTTTTGTGCTAATTAATTCTTTGATGAGCCAATCTTTTGCTCAAAAGTAGGGGAACAGTTTTTTATTTCACTTTTTAAATCTAGCTTCTTTCAGATAGCACAATATTAGCTGATACTGCACTACCTCCATTAATGCTTTCAAGTAGAAATTTGTATTGGCACCATTATTTATTTTTGTACTTTTGATGCTCATACATTGATGAGGAAAGAAAGCTGAATAATCCTGCAAGAAATACAGATAAATGTAACATAGAATTATTTCCTGTTTTGAAACTATTTTATACTACAATGGCAAGAAAGAGCCACCATACTAGCAGTTATACAAAAGTGTTAGAGTGTTGCCAAGTCACTACAGAGGGAAAGGTGATGTTTGAAGTTGTACTTCAATCTGTTGTTTCAGAAGAATGGGAATAGAATGCATCTCAAGTTATTTTACTGCTGTTCTTTTCTCTTCATTTAATTCTAATAGCAATCCTGTAAAATAATGTGTTCATTTTGCACATGAGGAAACCTGAGACTTTGAGGGGTCAAGTGTCATTAGACACTAGGGGCAGAAAGCCAAGCAAGGCACAAAGCAGACCCTGAACAAAATTTCCCTTTCCTTGCAAGTGAATAGCCGGTTTTGACTCTTCGTTTGCACATGGACATTGCTGTTTGCTGTTGAGCTAAGTAGGCTTCTTTGGGGACATAATAAAGAAGTTTTTAAATGGGTCACTTCTTTTATTATTTGCTGTATTGAGATTGTTATGGTTTTTCTTTGCAAGGACAATTAGGACTAATAGGAGGTAATAAACATTTAGAGTCCCTGGGAACAGTTAATTCTCTACTTAGACATAGAAGCTGTGGGTGAGTCCGTTTCACCAGAGGTGCCTTGGAAGAAAGAGCTGGCAAACTGTAGCAAAATCAGCCTGTGAAAACCCAATGGAGCACAGTTCTTCCATGATATGCATTTGGTGTACATGAGAGGAATCAACTATGTGGCATCTGACTTTGTTTTTGTAAAAGTATTTAGGAAGGATTCTTTTTTGTTTGCTTTGTTTTATTTTATTTTTGGTCCTCAAAGGGGCTCTAGTGGCTCCACTTCCTAAACAACACGCCTCTGGAAACTGTGAACTTTGGTAAATGTCGATATTTGTAGAGGGACTACAGGCCTTTTCATAGTCGCTGTGTATTGTGCTCGACTGAAAGGCAATCAACAAAACAACCACAACAGTGGCTTTTTGGGTACGGAGTAACCTTGCCAATCCAAAGTCAATTAGTTCAAATCTACTAGCTTCTCTGTAGGAAAAGACAGGTAAGCTCTTATGTGATTTACAGCTTCTGAAAACCCTCTAGGAGATTAGCTCTGAGTTGGTTCCAACACCACAGTGATTTTTTTTACTTTTAACTTTGTTTAAAGCAAAGTTTTCTAAACTGTTCTCTTGAATTATCTAGGTACTGATCATCTAAGGTGAAATATGTAACTATTTTAAAGGAGCAACCTGAATCAGAGATTGAGACTTGGCAAAGGTTACATAGTAAATTGACAGAATGACTTAGTGCAATTCAGTCATATTGTATAAGAATTTACTTTATTTTTAAAGATTTAAAATTTTGATTTTAATTATTTGAAGGTAGAATATGGACATTTAAAAATCTATATTAAGTGAAATGTGTCTTTTTCTAGATCTATGTATTTAGCTATATATGTAAAAATTCGTTTTTGCCTACAGAAACTATCTTTATTTTTTTCTTTTTCTTTCTAGCACCCAGAAGCCTCTATTCAGGCTGTTTTTTCAGATGCCCAACTGCATATTTGGGCATTAGAAGGTAAGCAGTCTCAGTGACCTGTAATTTTAATTATAGGTAAACATTGAAGTAAATAATATGAAAAAACAGTTCTAGATTTTTATCTCAATCTCAATTTTCAAATGTTCTCTTACATTGTTTATAACTAGCTCATTTCTCCCCTAGATATCTGTAATTTGGGCAGAAATTTTTAGTAGAAATAGAGAAATTGAAAAGTTTTTCTATATTATAATTTTTTTTTTTCCATCAAAGAAATGTTTGGCCAACTTTTGTTAAGCCTTGAAAACTTAATTGTTAAAGATGTGTTTCTTTTCATCAGATAAGCCACTGCCTTTCCAGTGCTTACAAACTTCCTGAGAGAGGCCTCAGGTAGCATCTGTGAAAACATTTTCCTCACCACCTACTCCCTTGTTGCTGTTATGTGCCATTGAGTAACCTGTGACTCATGGTGACTCTGTGTACTGTACAGCAGCTCTGGACCCTACCCTAACCTGAGCTAATCTCATTGACGCTGACACACCTACCCTCCAGTTCCCCAGTTATTATTTTCAATCCATCTCATCAGGATCTTCCTCTCTTGTACTGTCCCTCCACCCTTCCAAAAATGATGTCCTCCAGTGACTGGTCCCTCTTGGGAACATGTCCAAAGTATGTGTGATGGAGCCTCAAAATCCTTGCCTCCAAAATACAATTTGGTTTCACCCTCTCTAAGACTGACCTGTTTGTTCTCTTGGCAGTCCATGATATGTTCAGTACTCTTCTACAGCACCTACTCCCGTGCCATGCTTTATTTTGTTCCCTGTTACTTGTCACTGTTTAGCACCTAACATATTTTAATTTTCTCAACTAAAACGTAAAGCAGAGATGTGGTAATTTACAGCTAATGTAGTTGAGAATTTTTTACTACCTGGTGAGATCTTTCAGAAGCTCTGCTGGCAAGCTTTAGGGGGTTTGTAGTGCATTGTGCCGACAGTAAAAGGCTCCGAGTGTCTGGAGTTCTAATCCACCAGAGGCTCCATGGGAGAAAGGTGGGCTGTGTCATCTTGTTGAGATTTACGGTTTTGCAGACCCAATGGACTGTTACTTAGAGTCAGAATTGACTTGATGGCAGTGAATTTTGACTCTTAATTCATGCCTTCAGGATACTCTAGTGGCTTAATGGTTAAGCACTCAGCTATTAACCAAAAGGTGTTCCGTTTGGATGTTCTGTCTTCTTTGAGGAAGAAAATGTGACAGCTGTCGTAGAGACTGCAGCCTTGGAAACCCTGTGTGACAGCTGCATTCTGCCCGGAGGTTTGCTACAAGTTGAAACTGACAGCAGTGGCTGTTGGAATTTATTCAGCTATTTTTCCCATTTTTCTGCTGTATTTCTCTTTTTTTTAAAAAAATTTTGTTGTTGTAGTGTTCTTTATATATTCAGAATATTAGCCTTTGGCAGATAGATGTGTTGCAGATAATGTTGCCTGATTTTGAGTAACGTTTACCTTGTGTTTTTGTTTTCTTTTCCTTTCGAGGCCTTTCTCACTTAGTAGCTGCATCATTTACAGAAGATAGATTTGGGGTTGTCCAGACAACACTACCAGCTATTCTTAATGCTTTACTGACGCTGCAAGAGGTAAGGGGTAGAGCTTTGCTCTTACTTTTTGAATTTGATTTTTACATATTACATATGCTAACAACAAAACATATGTTGGAAGTTAACATAAAAATGCTATTCTCACTCTCAGGAAATGATCCTCTAAAGGAGAAAGATTAGGAAGAGAAAACAAATTCTTACTATTAATAAGTATTTAGAAATAGAAAAGAAAAATATACTAAACCTTTGATGTACTTCTGGTAGATTATTTTGATTTTCAGAATTCTGCTAAGTGCTAGAAATTTAGGTCCTTACATGCTTTGTTGCTACTGAAAGTTCATTTTTACGTAACTGATGAGTAACCTCTTGACTAGCTGCACAAGAGTACAGAGCTAAGGTCACAAAGGGTCACCCTGTAGACTGGGTGGCTAGGTAAAATAGAGGTCTATTTAGTTATAGAGGCAGAGAAAAGTAGAAAAGTGAAACATGCTTTCTGTTTTCTCATAAACGTTTATTCCTAATTTCATGTTTGGTGAGAGTTCCCTCATATAATACTAATTTGATGTCAGATAAAAGGTTTGAATACTTTGTGCTGGAGGCATTTAGGGATGGAGCCATACCCATAATATTTTTTAAATTTATTAAATTATTACTAATTTTCTGGAAGAGATGGTATTGGACTAGGCTTGAAAAGATAACAGTTGATACCTGTTTGGGTTTTAGAAAGCCATTTAAGATAAAAAGGGGAAACATTCTTCAGTTTCTTCACAGTTCAGAAGGTTTTATCCATCAAGATTGTTGTTATTATGTGTTATTGAGTTGCCTGTAACTCTTCCTGTCCTGTGCCAGTCTCACTAATTATGACACACCAACCCATTGCCCCAGTTACTGTATCAGACTTTCTCATCCGGGGTCCTTCCTCTCCTGTGCCATCCCTCCACCCTTCTGAGCATGATGTCCTTTTCCAAGGATTGGTCTCTCCTGGCCACGTGCCCAAAAACTAGTGATTGTTTTTCCTCGTTTTTAGGTTCTCTTTGTTCCTACTGCATTATGTATGTTACTTGAGACCCGTTAGTTGCTCCCAGCTAATGTTTACGGAGTAGAAATGCATCATGGGGTATTCAGAGTTGTGACTTTACAGATGCAAATCATTAGGCCTGTCTTGTGAGCTGTCTCTAGATGGTTTTGAACCACCAACCTTTTGGCAACTAGTCCAGTGTTTAATTCTTCGTACCACTTAGGATCTCCTGTATGTTCACATGAAAAACTCATTGCCATCTAGTGAGAATCAACTCATAGCTGACCCTCCAGTGGGTTTTCTGGAGTCTGAAAATTGCATAGGAGGAGAATGCCCATATTTCTCCTGGTAGAGTCGCTAGTAGAATTAAACCACGAAAATGTTAGTGCCTTTGGGCCAGCAGTGCAACTCCATATAGAGTACAACACCAGAGCTCCTGTCCATCCACGGTAAGTGCCAAACTTCAGGATCTGTTGGAAAATAGAGTATAAATTAAGGAGTTGGATTAGAATTAGAGTTGAGACACGTATTAGTTGTACGTTGTTGTTAGTTGTTAAGTGCCATCAAGTCGCCTACGACTTATAGTGACCCTGTGTACAACAGCCCTAAACCCTGCTCTGTCCCTTGCTAAACTTACTGTCTCTGACACACCTACCCCATTACCTTAGTCACTGAATCTACCTCATCGACGGTCTTCCTCTCTTGTGCTGTCCTTCCACCCTCCCAAGTATGACGTCCCTTTCTAAGGAATGATCTTGCCTTGCAACATGTCCAAAGTATGTCAGATGAAGCTTTAGAATCCTTGCCTCCAAGGAGCAACCTGTTTAACCCTCTGTAGGAAGAACTTGTTTGTTCTCCTAGCAGTCTGTGGTATATTCAGTACTCTTCACCACCACAGTTCAAAGACATCAACTCTCCTTCTATCATCCCTAGTCATTGTCCAGCTCTCTGATGCATGGCAAATAATTGCAGATCAGTTGTATAGCCTTGGAGAAGTCTCTTGTTTCTTTGAACCTCAGCTTTTTCATCTTTCCAGTGTTTACACAGATTGTTTTTATTATTCTTTTCTCAGTTACCTTTCTCTAAAAGATACACTTTTCTAGTATTTCACTTGCTTAACTATACAGTAGAGTAACTGATTTGGAAGTGTTTTTGGTGTTTATAACAGGTAGTTTTTTTAAAATAACTGAATATATATAAATAAGAATAAAAAATAATTCATCTTTATGCAGTACTTTATGATCTTCAGAGTGATCTTACATCATTATTTAATCCTCACAGTTGTCACATAAAATAAACAGGATGGCAGTAGCTTTGTTGTTGTCAAGCTGATTATGACTCACAGTGATCCTATGAACAGCAGATCAGAACCTTGTCCATTCCTGTGCCATTTGAGATGCTGGACTGTATAAAGAAGAATGTGGCATCAAGATTTGAGGAAGATTCATCAACAGCCTGTATTATGCAGTTATACAACCTTGCTTTCAGAAAGTGAAGGAGACTTAATGAAGATAATCAAAGACTACATATGGGTTATGTCTCAACATCAAGAATGCAAAACCTCCCCTTGTCTTAAAAATAACTTCATAATAGAAGGAGAAAAGATTGAAGTTGCCAAAGATTTAATTTTACTTGGACCTAAAACCAACATCCATGGTAGCACCAGTTAAGAAATCAATAGATGTGTTGTCCAGGAAATACCTGCTGTCAAGGATCTGTCCAAAGTTAGAAAGAGAAAAGAGTGTTAGTTTAACACATTGCCACACACTTTTAAATTGATGACCATGCTTAGAAACACTACCCCCCCACCCCCACCCCCCAGCTGTCATTTGCGGCAACGTGTTTAAAGATTAAGTTGTGCCTGATAAAAGCCAAGGTATTTTCCATTGCTTCCTATGACTAAAGGTTGGACAATGAATAAAACAGAAGCAGCATGGATGACTTTGAATTATCTGTATTTTAATGGTGAAGTACGCTTAAAAGTGCAGTGACCAATTTATATCACACCCACAAATCTTTACAGACCTACACTTTGAACTCAGTCTGTTTACAGCCTCTTATCAATATGTTGTTGCTGTTATATGCAGTTGAGTCACCTGTGACTCAGTGATCCTATGCATGACAGCCCTAAACCCTGCTCTGTCCTGTGCAATTCTTATTGTCTGAAACACCTACCCTCAATACCCCAGTCACTGAGTCAGTCCATCTCATCAAGGGTCTTCCTCTCCTGCGCTGTCCCTCCACCCTCCCAAGCATGACATCCCTCTCCAAGGACTGACCCCACCTTGCAGCATGACCAAAGCATGTCAGACACAGCTTCAGAATCCTTGTCTCCAAGGAGCATTCTGGTCTCACCCTCTCCAGGACAAACCTGTTTGTTCTCTTAGCAGTCCATGGTATATTCAGTAATCTTCTCCAGTACCACAGCTCAAAGGCATCAACTCTCCTTCTATCATCCCTAGTCATTGTCCAGCTTTCTTATGCATAGCAAGCAATTGCAAAGACTATGGCCTGGTTCAAAAAACTCTTCATATCTATGTCCCTTATTCTTCAAAACTTTTCTACTATTTTGTCTTGTTCCCTCTCGTTTTCCCCTCACCCCATCACCATGAAGGCGAGACTCTTCTTTAGAGTATATTTAGAGCTGTGGCTTGCAAACTTACTGGACCATAATCTACAGTAACAAATTTTAAATAAGGTCAAAATATGGATAGATTACGTAGGTGCTAGAGTCAGTAGGGAGTTGTGCTGCTTGCCCAAAAGTGGGACCTCTGTTGATTTGAATCTCCCAGCAGCTCCGTGGGAGGAAGATGGACAGTCTTCTCTCGTGCAGCTTCTAGTCTCTAAAATGGAGAGTCAGCTATGAGTTGTTTGCAATTTGATGGCAAGGAGTTTTCTTTTTTTTTTTGAGAGATATGTATGCATGTTTAAGAGAAAAGAAAGATTTTAGAACAGTACTTATTTGGCCTGTGTTTTGTACGCTATTAAAGTTCCCTCTTTCATTAAGAAGTAATGCTAGTTGAAGCATTCTGAATTGACTACACATGAATCGTATTATAGATATATATTGTGCACCAAATTTGCTTTGTTCTTACTTTATGTCACTATCAGAATTGCTAATTATTGTCAGTACCACAGCATAGTAGTTGTAGTTGAGTATTAAAAGGAAGGTAGTCTGTTTGATAATAGAGATTAACAGTATGTTGTAGAATAGTGTTGTTGTTGTTGTTATGTGCCATCGAGTCATTTCCGGCTCATAGCGACCCTATGCA